TCTTGGTGAGAGTAAATCTTCACCAAAAATAAGTTCCATTTGGTGCTGGAAAGCCAGTTCTACACCAGTTGGCTCTTTATTATGTATTATTGCTATTAATATTATTATTACCATTAAATATTATATTATAGTTATTATTATTATTAATTTTACTATTATTTATTAATTTTATTATTAGTGTATTAATCAAAGTTACAACCATAAGAAAGCGAAGAACTTTACTGCTATTTTTTGAAAATTTTCTTTGAGTAACTGCGAAGCGCATTGGTTAAGCCATTTTTGGAAACATTATGTAGTGCAAGAAAATTGTATAATTCTTTGCTCTTAAAGATAATTTCAGAAAAAGTCAGGTCGCTTGTCCAGTGGTTATTGTTGGTGAAACTTGTCCAGAAGCGACGCCTCTCTATTACTTTAAATGTTGTGGCGATTTGAATTCAACGTGCTGCTTCAGGTTGCAGGTAAACCTTGGTCTAAAAATTTTTTAAAAGTTGGCTTTGATCTTAATCTACTTATTAATTTATAAAAACTAGTCATTTATTCCTTATGATTAAAAATTTTCAAGAAATTTTAAAATTTTTAGCTTAAAATTTAATTTAAGAAAATTTAATTTAAAATTTTCTAAATTTTTATTTTAACGCAAATCTTGCCAAGGGAGGTTGAATTTCGAGGTCTTTACGGGTTTTTAAAAGTTATTATATTTTGCAGGATTGGGTTATCGTATTGTTAATAGTGTTATTGGTAATACTAATTGCTAGTGTTATTATCAACTTAATTCGTTGTATGCTTTGCTGTAATCGTTGATATATCAATCGACGCAACGTTCTCAGCCTTTTTTTCCACTTTCGGCATGCTCAATTGACATACAATTGACAATTAGCATTTTTCCGTTTATCTTCAGATCTTATTTTATTTTTTTCAACACTTCTTTCCAGTTCGCTATGTTTAATTAATAGTTTAAATAACAGACATATCATTTTTCTTCATTTTCATCCACATTTCATCTTATTCCCACTTTTTAAAATTACTTGGTGGTGGTTAATTAATTAAATCAAATTAATAAAATTAATTTATTTTAAATTAATTGGTGGTTATTCTCGGTATTATTTGTTTAAATCTTTTCTGGGCAATTCATTTAATTTAATTCAATTTTTTATCAGCGATCGCTTAATTATTACATTATTTATGGGCATTTGTAACTTAAAAAAGACTTTATCTATAATTGCTTTTATTTTAATTCGATTTAGTTGTATTATTCGTTGTTGTTTTAACTTTTAGTTTCAGTAGATAATCGTTTTTTCACGCCATTTTTCTCGTTTATTTCTTAACTGTAAAACAATTTACATTGTTTTTCGAATCAAATTGAAACATTCTTAAAAATAAGATTTTTTCTATAATCCATGAATTTTTAAAACAGTATAAATAGAAAATAAATAAATTGAATTTTTAATTGCTTTATTTTATTTGGTTTACTCATTTTTAAATTAAGTTGGAAATTTAAATTCAGTTTTGTTTTTGCTTTCTAACTTAATTTAAGAATAAAATTTTCATAAAAATTTTTTGTGTGTGCATGAATATCTACGAATAAATCATGGATTCACAGATTCGTGGTTATTATAGTTTAAATCTGGACGATTCATTTAATTTTTATCAATGGTCGGTTATTTTCGGTTCTTTTCCCTTGGATATGAATAAATCTGTCATTAAAAATGGAATCTGCTTGGCCTACTTCTTCTCCAAGTAAGTCTGGCAAAAAGGTTTCTCGCTTCAAGCAAAGATAACCATGAATTGTGAATGCACTTAAAAGAAGAATGGATGGAAAGATGCAATATATATATATATATATAATTTTATATTTATATATTTTTTGGAGAAAGCAAAATTTGTGATTTTGGTAATTACTTAAATGATATATTGATTCTTAACAATTCATGAAAAGATTTTAGTGTAAAATATTTTGTCGATAACACTTGTGTCATCATGAAACTTTCTAAATTTGTCTTCATCGAGTACTGATTTATTTGCTCTATTAATTCTTTTAAAATTAAGGCAAAATTTTGGAATTTGAAAATTTAAAAATGAATTGAAATATCAAATTCCCTTTCTAAGTTTGCCAAAAAATATCGCTCTTTTATATATTTATATATTTTGTTATCAAATTTCTTTCAATTCATTTTTGAGGTTGAAAGATAATGCAAATTAGGTGAAATAAATGTAATTTTTGTATATTTTGGTGGATTCTATGCCATTTTCATCTCGTACAAAGACTATATTGGTTGATTTGTGTTTTGTTAGTGCTTAGTGCTTTTTACGGCAGAAATGAACTTGCGAATGTTTTCTGATGGCCATTGGGAACATATCATGTTTCATATTATCAACTGACTCTCTGGCGAAATTCTCTCGTTCTAGACAATGGGGCCAGTCAAACTGGAAATGCGATTCAATATAATAAAAGGAATAAAATACTGAAAAATTACAATTGCAATATTCTAATGGTAATATCAATGGTCATGGCATTATTCTAACAGGCAATTAAAAATTGGATTTTTTAAATTCTAAACTTATTTATTAGAGGGGTAAAGATGAAGGACTGGAATGAGGCACGATAAACTGGTTCTTCAGTGAAAATCGACATTCCTAACGATTAGAAATATGAATGCAGTTGTATTACTTTCATTTATTATCGTTTCTGTATTATGGCAAATTATCAATTAATCAATTGATCTATTTATGTTTTGAAATTAAAATAGTTCAAGTTTTATATTAATTGATTTAAATAAACAAAGGTGAATTGAATAATAATTTAATTAAATTGATAAAAAAATCGAGAAATATTAGAAATGAGTGCACTTAATTGAAGTGAAATATTGAAAATATTTTTGTACTAAATAAATTAGTTGAGAAAACTAAATGGCTTCAATTTTCGTAACCAATTTTTATCGCTTTTATGAATTTACGAAACGAAGTAGTCGTTATTTAGATTATTGTATTATTCGCTTTTATCCTGAGCAGAAGTAAAAAAGAAAAAATCCGCCAACTGGTGTTGAGCTCCATCTATATTTCTGTCCTCTAGTGGCTCTCTGGCAAACTAACTCATTCTATTAGCTTAAATATAATATAATTCGATAGAATTTTTCAATTTTTTTCATCTTATTTAAAAGTCTATTAGTGTTTGAGTACTGTAAAGTTGTTTGGCAATTTCATTTCTTCACTTCGTATCAAATTTAGAAGTATATATCTAAAGATTCCCCGCAATTTAATCGTTTCTTTATCTGACAATATAAAAAACACAAGGAAATTTTTGCATGGTTTTGCAAATATAAGCGATAGAAATATTAACAAAAAGCATCTTCAGTCATCCTTTTAGAATCGTTAATATCACAGACCAAATAAAGTAAGACCATTTATTTCATTGTTTTGATATTCTTGATCCACTCATTGTCTTTCGGAGCCACAAAAGGAAAGTATAAATGATATATTTTCATCGCCAATGAGATTTTTTAATGACAGGTTTATTCCCATTATGATATGAATCAAGATATGAATCACGTTTCGCCTCAGGCCGTATGCTCAAACTATGCGTTAACCAATTTCAGAAATAACTAATTTCAAAATCACTTTCGTATAACCACTTTAAATGAACGAAATTGTTTCAGAAGAACGAAATTTCAGAAGACGTTTTATGGTCTTTTCTAAAATAATTTTTTTGGCTATGAAATGCAGCTATTAAATATTTTTATGATTACCTTTGGTGTAGTAAAAACTATTCGATGTATTATATTTACGATTACAGTTTTCTTGTTTTAGTGAAGATATTTTAATAAAACCTGTTTTTGGCAAATCAATATTTTTGCTTGAATTATTTTCCCAGATTTTCCCAGATTATAAGCTATCATATTTCTACCTATGATTAACAGTAATGAAGGCACGACAGTTGTATCAAGTATGGTGAGCAATTTTATCCATTTGAATTGTAATCCACTAATAAAAAGTAAAAGGACCCTTAAATCTTAGCAAACCTCTCGAAATTCTCTCAAGATTCTTTATATTCTTTATATTCCTTCAAAAACAAATCGAACCGTGACGTAGCACTTTCACGCATCAATTCCTATAATTTTCGCGATCTTCCAATCCCCGCGATATTCCTATATTTTTCATTTACTGTGGTACTAGTTTCTCTCATCCTGAATTGCTGCCGTAATTGAAATGATTATTAATTATGGGAATATTTGATAATTTGGGAAAGTTTTTCCGCAAAAATCGTAGACTTTTAGGGGCTATCAAAATTTTTCAAAACTACTGGAAGTTTTAAAAATAGTCATCTAATTTCAGGCATAATCACTTTAAATGAACGAAATCGTTTCAGAAAAATTATTAGTGTGGTTAACAAAATGGTACAACGAGCTGTTGGTAAAGTAAAATAATAGGCGAAATTAATATGTTATAGTTTAAGGGCCTGAAGCAATAAACATGCCACAAATGAGTCCTAAAAAAGTTTTGCTTTTAAAAAGGCTTTTAATGAGATTTGAGAGAATAGTAGAGAGGATTAAGAGAATTTGAGGGATGTGGAAGATAGGAGCAAATTCTTGGGGCTTATTAACTAAGAATTTAGAAGGACGTCTAAGAGATTATGATCATAAAGGAAATTTATATTCAATATTAATGGATTACGAAAAATCTAAAAAAAATATTAAACGAAAAGTGATATGAAGTGGTACTTTGGGAATGAAGAAGGAATAAAGGAACAAGAGATGGATAATGCTACTTAATGGGAACTGAAAAAGAAAAAAACACACCTTATTCTTGTAGCCAGCGGAGCAAGCCTAACCAGTAATAGTGAGAGCTCTTAGAAGAAGAAGAAATTTTGCATAAATTAAGAGAAGAGAAATAATTTAATACTTTGAATTTCTTTAAGTTTTCTTTAATTTACTTCAGTATTTTTATATTTTTATAGTTTTGATCATCGGGAGGAGCAAAGAGAGTTACGACGATACAACTGATTCATGGAAAAAGATATCGTTAACTTACCGGAAGATTTATTGGATCAGATCGAAAAGAAGCCATTGAAACGCCAGTCGACTAAAATATCGTTCGCTTGCGATGATGCTGATGGAGACTGCAACCATTTCTTGTTCGATGATTACTTTAGAAGCGATTCGACAGAATCATTTAGCGTTTATGATCTTTTCTTAAGGCTTCAATATCCAGTTAAACGGAATCGTGAATCAAAACTTGAAAAATTCAAAAATTATTGGGAAAATTATTCATTTTATGCAATATGGAGGAAGAAATTTTTGGAGGACCACAGTTGTACAGAAAAAGATATGTGGAAAGAGGTGCGATTCACTTTAAAATTTCTCAATAAAAAATTGCTTCTTTGAAGCATCAGAATTTTTAAAAACTGCACTGGGATATGAATGAATATAGTTAAATAGACATATATGGGACTATCTAGTTGAGTATAGTAGCGCTTTAGATAGTCGTTGTGAGAGGCGATTCCTTCTTCGAACATGAAAATCTATCGCTAAGTGATTCCCTGGCAATAATTTTTCACAAGCAAATAGTGAAGCTAGCTTAACCAGGGTGAGCCTTTTCTACTGAGGCATATCATCACTAAATGGCCTTTGGAAGTTAGCTTTAAATTCCATCGATGCCTTGATGGCTCTGATTTCGAAGAGATATGCCTCATAATACAATCTTAATTCAAAATTGCGTCGCAAAAATTTTTTTCGAATGCCATTTTATTGGTTTAACAAATCCTATTATATTCTATTAACACTAGCCTTTAAGCCTTGTTTCATCAAACTTTTTGCAGAATGGTGAAGAAATTTAAATTTTTCGCTCAAAAGAAAATATTTTATAAAATTATAGAGAAAAATGTTTTAGTTCTGCATCGCCGCTTTACCACATGTCATCATCAATATTGTCTTGACATTTTATATTATCTGCGGTGCTTTAATATTCCAGTTAGTTGATCCTAGAATTCGTGAAGAGAAATTTTATAATGTTGTCCAGTTTACATTCACAACAATTGCAACTGTTGGTATGTCCTGTTGTCTTAGCTACAGCATATTCTAAGCCGGATACTTCTAATATTTGGAGTCCAGTGAAAAATGGCCTCTCATCATCATTGTATAAAAAAAATTGTAGTTTTTAGGAGATATAGGTGAAGCTTTCAGGTTACGGTAATATTGTACCAACTACCGATCTTAGCAAAATTTTTTGCATATTCTATACTTTAATGGGTATACCACTGATGTTTCTTGCACTTACAAATATCGGTCAATTTTTAGCCGAAGGATATTGGATATTTCTAGCATCATTGTCCAGGAAACAAGTTTGGTTTTATAGAACATTTTTATTTAAAATCTGTTGTACTGATAAACTGCCAACAATCAATCCACTTCACTGGTCATTTTAATTTTTTTTGTCCTCTATCGCATAATTAAGGTATGTCTTTTAAGACATTTAGTAAAATTTCAGAATGTAGGAGCGTCCGATGAGAGACGTTTACCGATTGGCGTTGTAGTTGTTTTACTTTTAACTCATTCAGTAATCGGAGGAATCCTTTTTCATTTCTGGATTGATCAAATGCCAGTGATACCAGCGATCTATTTCAGGTAAATCAGCAACTCATTTGTTACGATGAATTCATTTGGCTCTACTGTTAGGAGAGATTATATCATCACGGAATCACTTTGTGGTAGAAGTACAGGTAGGTCCCTAGCACCTCCTGGCTTTTAATGATAAGTTTAATCTCGTTAAAGAATAGGAACCCATTGTGAATTGCTCGAAGTAACTTAGCACTTATATATTATATTATATTATATTATATTATATTATATTATATTGTATTATATTATATATATTATTATGTTATATTATATATATTATTTATGAGCATTATATCCTATGATATAATATAAAATTTCGATTTCAGCTTTGTTTCCATCACCACAATTGGTTATGGTGATATTACACCAACTCCGAACGGATCCTTTCAAACATTTATTATTATTTGTTACCTTGCTACTGGAATGGTATATTGCTTTCTTGTAATTATTATGATTTTAGTGATGTTTTAATAAATAATTTTATATTTTTTTCTTTACTTGAGTGCCGTGGTGCTTGATTTCCCTTAAATTATTGCCCAAGGCTGTGTCTTGAAGCTTCTGGTTTTTCTTATTACGAACAAAAAAGGTTTTGTTTAAGGTAATAATGTCAACTTTTGTTGCGGCTTTGTACAATTATCTTCATCAATTGCATTACCTTGGTAGAAGTTTCAGTGGTGCCGCTAATGTTGAAGTTTGGTTCGGTGGAACACGTATGTCCATTGCAGAATTACTGCAAATCGTTGCTGAACAATTCAAGGTTGGTAAAGTTATCTATGGTATGATGTCCATCATTTTAATGCTAATGTGCTTCTTGCTAGATCCGTTTTCCGCATCATAAATAGTATTTACAAATAGGTTTCGCCGAAGATTCTTTGTAATGTTCTACATGATCTGGATGATCTAATAACTGCAGCAACTGATCCTCGAACTAAAGCAAGCATTGAAATGAATACGAATGGTGAACCAAGTATTTTGCCTATAATTAGCGGCGCAACGGGTGATGCATATTCAATGACACTTGAGTTGCAGAAAAGCGAAAATTCACGAGAAACTCATGCAAGTCGCTTATTTCGATTTGAATAATGTCTTCGATTTCTAAAAGCACATTCCATTTCTAATTAACTTGGCTCCATTGGCTCTATTATGACGATATTCATTCATCAAGGAGTCAGTTATAGGATATAACTGCAGGCATGTCCTAAAAAACTCTCGGATTTCATTTCTAATGAAGAGATTTATTCCTGTCAAAGGATCGAAATTGTGGTTCACCTTCCATCATGTTCCTAGCAAAATTTAATTTTACTTCAAAACATATGCGGAAAATAGAAGTGAAACAAAACAAAGTTGAATTTAATATAATTTATTACGCTAAGTACATATTTCCAATATTTTGCAGTAAACATTCCGATTATTTTCTCTGATTTTTTGTGTTCTCAGAACATTTTATTTTTAGATTCTAATGAAGCCCAAATCTGAATTACAAATCAATAAGCTGGCTGAAAGCGAACGCGAAAATGTTAGTTTACCTTAAATGTTAGTTTCCACTAAAAAAAATTTGTTCATTCTGTACGCATAACTTTAAAGGATCTGAAACGTCACAAAGGATAAAGGACAGAAGGGAAGGGAAGGCCTATTTAAGATGTTACTTAATGATGTTGAGCTTTAATCTGCCTAATTATTGCCTTAAATGATGGATGACTAAGGTTAATTTGATAATATTATAGGTTATGCAAGCGCTAGGAATGTTGCATCATTTAACGAAGACTAAATCCAATGTTGCTCGACGCGCTTCATCTGCTTCTTGTAAACTGCGTAATTGTAAAATCGAGGTGGAAGCAAACAATAAAATGATGTAAGGATTTTAGATAACTCCATTAGCGAAATAGCAAAATCAATACAAATATGAAAGTTTCAGACCTTGAAGAAGACTCGTGAAAATAGTTGTCACAACGGTAAGAATTCAGTGGAGTGTGAACGATGACTTTCTTCAGTAACATCTAAATGGAATGAATAAACGAATTTTAATGCTTTTAAAAACTTCTCGAAAAATTTCTTAAAAATATTCAAATTGGGACCTTAATAGTGCAGTCTTTCCGTTCGCTTTCCCTATTTGTATGCTTGAGCCTAAATTTTTAACAATTTCGTAATATAACGCCAAAAACCAAATTTCAACTTGCTTTCCTTGAAAGGAAGGTTCCTAAGCCGGAATTTTTTTATTACATTTTGTTTTCGAAATTTTATTCAATATTCCAAAATATATTTTGTGGCTCAGTCTTGAAGAGCCATTTTGAATTCACTTATATTTTAATGCATATCTCAATTCTTCAGAAAGTTTATGACGCAACATATTTTAAATGATATTCTAAGCAGTGCCTATCAATACTGGAAAAAAATACAATAAAAGTGCAAAGCTATGAATTCTGATTGGTGTCCAAAATCAGTGGAAAATTTTTGGGCACCTTATATTTCCCATATTATTGGAAGCGAAAATCGTCCCAACTTTTTTAAAATTCTCATTCATTCCTTTTCTCACTTTTTCAGTGCTTATTCGTTCTTAATTTTTCCAAAAATTTTCCTTCTCAATTATCGAATTTGAGGTGATTTAAATTTGTTCGATGCAAACTCGGTTGTCGTTGTAAAATTGAAAATTTTCAGTCTATGTTTCGATCAGTGAAATAGCTGATTTTTTTATTTTTTGCACATTTTCAAAGAAATTGTAATTTAATGAAAATCAAAACAAACTATTCGTCAAAAAGCCGTTAAAAGGCGCCGCTGACAATACGCTTCCTAGCAAAATGATCGTCGAAAATTTGTAATTTTGTAAATATTTGCTTAATGAGACGATCACAAGACAATAATAATCTAAAATTTAAAGAAGTTAATTGTAGCACGAAAAGGAGAGAAAACGACGAATCGCTAGCGAAAACAATCATTTTATCTTTTTTATTCATTTAGAACAAACTTTTGCATTATACTTATACTTCAGAATAACGAAAGTAATAAGTAAACAATCCTTTAACAATCCAATATATCCAATTAATTATATGCGAACATTTTGCCATTATGAACCATCATTATCATTGTCATCACTATTTTCATTATTATTATTCCTTTTATTATTATTATTATTATTATTATTATTATTATTATTATTATTATTATTATTAATCTTAATCTTTAGATTAAAGATAAGTGTTTTATGTATTTTTTTAAATTGTACACTTTTTGCAAGCTTAATTACTAATTTTAAATAATAATAATAATAATAATAATTATTATTATTATTATTATTAATCTTAATCTTTAGATTAAAGATAAGTGTTTTATGTATTTTTTTAAATTGTACACTTTTTGCAAGCTTAATTACTAATTTTAAATAATTATTTATTTATTCAATGTTAAATTTAAGAAAAAAACTTAATGTTAAACTTAAGAAAAAAAACGCTCGTTTTCTCACTTAATTGTGCAGTCAATTTTTCATAAAATTGTATTTAATTGATTATAGTTTTAATAAAATGAAGTCGTGAATAGCACTTATTCAAACCAAGATTTTTCTAATTGATTCATATTATTTTCCAATTTTTTCATCATTTGAAGAAAATACTTTTGATAAGATCAGTCGATAATTTCCGCCAAAATCTGTCGAAATGATTCAGTAATTGTCAATTTTATAGTGTATTTTTAATGCGAATCAGTAGTAAGTTATAATAGTCATCGGTATAATAGTTGTTGGTGACTAGAAAATTTATTTCGTAAGAGCTTAACATATTTGCTGTAAATTTATTTTAACAATTGACAGCTTTAATGAAAATCGAAACAAACTATTGAGAGGGATATGGATACCTTCGAGAGGAGTAAAACTGTCGCTGGAAAATTCGAGTAACGCTAAATCATCTTTCGTTGTCTCTTTGGTAAAAATTTAGAGCCAGTGGAGTTGATACCAAGCCTGTCTATATTAACAATTGAGAGCTTTTCGAAGAAGTGATGTCTCTTGTCACCCTTAATCCATTTCTTCTGCCATTTTGTATTTTTGACAATTGCATGAATAGAACAAACAATAAATTCATTATCGGAACAACATAATTGAAAATTTCATTTAATTCTCGAAAATATTTACTTTATCCGAATCTTCCGATTTTTATAAATATTAAGAAATATTAGGAGACTTGATCATGATTTCTTAGGCAAATTCTTTTTTTGAGGTTCATCTATAAGGCTTAATTAAATGAACGTAAGAGAAATCGAATAAGGAGAAGATGGTCATGTGGTATGTTGTTTCGATTGAATGCCAATATCTTGGATTCGATTCATGTTTAATGGATCCTGTCATTAAAGCCTGTCATTAAAAACGAAGTCATCACAAGAGTGATACTGTGGGTCCACATTTATTTCTATCCCTTTCTAGCACTTCTCACTTCGAATTTTCTTCGTATGATTAAAATTCGTTTTTAATTTTTATGGCAGCTGATTTACCTATAACTATGAAAAATCTCACTGTATTAATCGATGACAAATCGATTAAACTGTAAAAAAATATAATTGTGATTGATTGTTGAAGCGACGGATTGATAATTACATGCCACGCAATATTATTTTAAAAATTATTTGATCTGGCTGCTTTAACAGTAATAGAATTATTCACCGCAATAAAATTATCAACAAAATTTCTCCACATCAAAGTTGGGTAATTAAACCTTATTGCAAAAAAATAAATTTATTGAATAAATTAATAAATTTATTGATTGGAAGCAGTGGGATGCTCGCCTGCCACACGTTAGTTATATTCGAATAATCTTGATCCAAATGCTCTCTCAGGACAGTGGGATAAAAATTCGTCACAGCACGAATTGATAAAATATTTATTCCGCTACCTCAATCTCAAACTTGGGTAATTAAACCAGTTAACATATAGTAATACGAAAAACAAAAACAATATTCACACAAATTAAATCCGGAGACAAAAAGGATAACTATCGCAAAACAAATAAGGAAAGATTAAACAATGTAAAGCATGCAAAATAACAAAATAAACTGAATATTGAAATACTGGGACCCAACCACTCGGGTCCCTTGATGGCAAAGAGGAAGCGGATATACGATATAGCATTTAAAATTGGAAAATAAATCTTAGTGTAGGTTCTCAAGTAGGCTTGATTCATTGATGATTTCTACAAGCCATTATGAAGAGTGGCTTCCACTGATATCAAGTGAGTTTAATTCCCGTCTTTTAAGACCAATTAAAAATGAAGCCCAGGTGTAGCTGAAAGTATGCACTTCTATGTGCTTTTAGAATCAAAAACTCTGGCTAAGCCAAATAATAACTGAAATATGAGAAAAAAATCTATAATTTCCCAAATATTTAGCAAATAATTTTCCAAGTCAAATCAGGACAAAGCAAGATTACCATACTAAGGTGATAAATGTAAATAATCCAGGTCGACTGGTGATTCCTTATAATCTTTATTTAAGGAATGACTCAATTATTACAGCTCCTGTTATAACGATAATGTTTGTTATATACGATAAAAATAATAAGTGATGCAAAACAGATTCTGGTCTTTTCCGAAAAAATTCTTCAACGATTTTATGCTATCGAACGTTAAAATTCCATGGAAAATTTTTCCCGTTTTCTATTTCAATTTTTCGTTTATCACATTTGAAAATTAATTGGAAAATATTATCTCATTTAGATTTTAACTTCTCGTCAAAGATTCAACCTTCCGCTTAAAATAAAGGGAAAATTCATATATATATGAATTAATATCTGAAATAATTTTTTTCTGAATGGGAAATTTATAGCATTTATAGCATTTGTAGCAAAAATTTGTAGCATAAAATTTGAATAAATGAATAGATGATAGGTCTTTATCTATAAATTTGAAGATATTCATCAATAGGTTTATTTAGCATATAAAACCAGTGAATTTACTTTAGTAATGAATTGAAAACCAAATACTGAGAATCCCATTTTGGAGTCCTTTCAATCATTTCATTTTTTAAGTTCAAATCAATTCAGTTAAAAATCCTCTATTAATTAATAAACATAGTAGCTCTTACACAGCACTAATCAACAACAACAATTCTGAAGTAAAGCTTGGTGGGCTGGTGACTCACTTTATTCTACTCTTAAGTGAAATGGTTCCACCATATAGTCAGTGGTGCAAATAATGCAAGAAACTGAAGATTGAAAGATCGAAACATTTTAACATAATGAATATTATCTAAATGCGTGAAAATTAAAAACGAATAGCTTTATTTAGCATATAAAAGTAATTTAGGCTTGATAATATCTAAAAAATTGGAGCTGAAGAGCTGAAATGGATATTTTATCTTGAGAAAATGGTAGATAAGATATTTATTCAGGTTTCCTCGGAGCATCTGTCGCTTGTAGTATTTTTGATCTCAGAGCTGGGAAGATAAATTTACTACGTCTATCATCTCTGACTTCTATCAATTGTGTTTTCTGGGGCATAGGTAACGCTGCTACATGACCTGCTTCAGCTCTTGCACCCTCAGGCGATAGAGGAAATGGTTTAACTGTTCCAGCCAACCTCCTATCATCCTCAATTTGTGCATATTGATCTATATCATATGGCGAAACCGCTCTTATCTCCATTCTCTTAGAAATTCCCGTCTGTGCATCATACGCTTCTTTATCCAACATCTCTGTCGCTAAATCGGCATCCAAATTAACTCCTCGAAATTTCATTAACTTTACATTCTCAACTTTCTGCTGTAATTCCTACAATTTTTATTTTTCAAAAAAGTCTTTTGACTTTTCATTGCCAATTGTTAGTTTCTATTTGGTATATGATATAAAAAACCTTACACGTCTCTTTTTTTCTTCACTTTCTGTTTGAGCTGTCGCTGTTTCTTTTCCTTCCGGTTCTCTAGAATGCAAAAAAATTATTTGCAATCTCAAGGAATATTTTAAGTTTTTAGGGTTTCAGAAATTTTGAGAATTAAAGCAATTTGTTTAAAGCAATAAAGTTTTAAGCGTTCCCTAATATTATTTATTGAAAGTATTGTATAGAATTTCCAAATCATTGTGAGTTCGAGTTGAAAAAAGGCGATAATTCATCAATATGCATCTTACCGTAAATATTCTAGATATTCTCTCTTCGCAGCCCAAACTTTTTTGAGGCGTCTGCAAAAATTATCAATGGGATTTTAGTGTTAGAAGTTAGTTAAGTGATCAATTAATTAATTATGGCGACTAATTGACCTATTGATTCATGTAGAACAATGTCGATGTTATGTCGAAAATGAAGGGAAACCTTCTATAATAACCGAACGCACATGCGAACCATATTCCAGCCGCCGCAGAGAAACTTGCCGTAGTGAAATGAACAAGTAAGTAAATATCAAACAGATGACTGTTTCTAACATTCTAAAAGTTTTTAGGAAAACTAATAAATGATGCTCGCAATTTTTATAAAATTCTTTCTTTAGTATAAGACAGGATAACCAAGTGATTATTGCAGTATCGGGACTGCCTCCAGTTGCCTTATCTTGCCCTAACAGGCTTTACTTTCTATTAAAGAATCCGGAATCCGGCTGGTCCTGGGAACGCAACTACAATTCCGTCCTCAAGTGACTCGTTGATAAAAATTGTTTCTTATCGCACTAATAGCCAGTGGAGCAAGCCTAGCCAGAAAATGGTGAACGCTAACCATTTATTTAACATGCTTCGAATAAATTTAGACAAAAACTCATTTTAGCCGAATTTTTATTGTCGATTCTCCCATAATTCTTTCGATCATTTTCTCGTAGGTGCATACTTTTGAATAATATTAAAAATCCACAGCGACATGGTAATTTAGAGCAAAATATACCTCAGCAGCAATATGTTTCTCATCGTTCTCGTTCATTATTTTCAATTTATCTGAACTCCAATATTTTGAAGCATTTCTGAAAAAAAATGGTACAAGTGTAGATAAAAGTGAAATGCGTAGTGCTCGGAAAGTATTTCATTTCGTCAAAATCAGAGCTCCCTTAATTTGCACCTTTTATTTAATTTCAGCTATTGAGTTATATTTCAGCTATTGAGAATCGATCAAGATAAAGATGGCAGTGGATGATCAAAAAATCTCTGTTGCAGTGAGTGGAACGAGAACTAAACTATTGGAAGAAGATGTAGCAGCAAATAAGAATGAAGAGTTCACTGTTTCGGAAGAAAAAGAATTGTTTGAATTTTTAGCAGAAATGCAATGGCTTTATTCACTGTCAAGACAGAATAGGCGACCCTAGCCTAAAGCTGTTCAGAATATGTCAAACTCGTCATTCCACGCACGCATACACGTGGACTTTTATCTTTAATAAGCAAATGACTGCGGAAAAGACCGCCAGCAAAGCGAATTGAATTCCAATTTTTAAATTTTCATTAATAAAGAAATAAATCTAAGTTTAATTTTTGACTGCCCAATTGATTTCGACTTTTACATTTCATTTTCATTTTTTGCACTTTTTATAGCGTAAAATAAGGCAAACACTGTGAGCGAAACAATATACCATTTCAAGCACATCTGAAAATGCTTCACTAAATAACTGAATGGCTTTTCTGAACGATGTGCGTTATCTCTCGAGGGATTGTATTTGGATTGGAGCTTAGCTCAGACCAATGCAAATCGGTCTAAAAGCGTTGCGGCGACAACAAGCGAATGGGTCGATTAGCTGCAAGACTGCCATTAAAAATAGAGTCTGAATGGTGCTTCGAATGAACAGCATTCCTCTGTGCTTCTCAAAAAACTCTACCAAATAACGGCAATAACGGTGAAACGAAATATGGTATTATTCGGCAAAAAAGGAATGCTCTTCAAGCCAAGTAACGATTTCCACCATGAGTATTGGATTAAGTTTTGCTTTATTATAATGGAACCGAGCGATCCTCGAATATTTCCAAGTATGACTTTCTGACGAAGACTTCACCACTAACAGTCAGCAGCTGCAGCTAAATTAGAAATAATTTAAAATAATTTACAATTTGGAAATAAATAAATAGAATAAGTAAAAACTATCTGATTATCAATGGTAAGAGCTTTAGAGATAAGATAAGGATATTCGTTAGGGAAAATAGATTTGATATATTTATTTTTTATTTGATATTCACTTGCATGCACTAATATAAATTAGGTTTTTTATTTAAAATATGCGAATTATTTTTCCCATTAAATATCATATTAAAATGATTTTTTGCTTTCAACATTATTATTATTTAATACCTTTATTATTATTATTTATATTAAATTTTTTTGTCTCTCTGTCATTCAGATTATCTTTTAATTATCATTATTAATATTACCACTAAGTTTTTTTTTTCAAAAATTTATCAGATTCTTGCGAAAAGAAAGCCTATAAAACACCTATTAAAAAGTATCATATTTAGGAGAAAATAAAAAAATAATTTAAATTTTGACTTTTAAAAAATAATGCTGTGAGATAGAATATTTTCATTCATCAGTCTTTAAAAGAAAGAAAAAATATAGAAAAAAGGCCTGAAATGCAGCCGATACAACGAATCAAATTTTTAAAATCTATAAAATTTTCTAAATTTTCTCGCGAAAAAATAATTCCTAGAAAGATTGATTATTTAAATTTTCTAATTTTCAATTTCTTCAAATTTTCCAATTTTCAATTTCCTCGCTAATTTTTCAAAATAAATCGAATAAAGTTTTTTCACCAAAAATTCCTTTCATTCCCTTTCAAATTTATAAAAAAACCCTCACAAATTTCAAAATTTCAAATGTTAAATTAATCGTTTAAAAAATTGTCTATGGAAACATTGGTTTTTCAGAAATAATTTACCGGCAAAATATTTTAAATTTCTACTTATTTTAAATTTTATTTTTCTTTCCTTAATTTTACCAGTTTTAATTATTTTTATATTTCAAATTTGAGAGATTTTGAAAATTCTAATTTAAATTTGGTTTTTAAAAGCAAATTTTTTAAGGGGCGCTTTTCAAACAAAAAAGACAAATTAAAGCCCATCGAAGCGCCTTTGTTTATAAAGGCTAATGACACTAATCCAATCGAAGAGGAAGCATTTCAACTTTGGATTGCTCAAGACTAATCTTGCGCTGTGGCACTGCTCAGTCACTAATCCAGAAGAATTTTATAATTTGAATTTTTTCTCGTTTTCTGAAATTGTCACACATCAAAGGACTCATTAGGAAGAGAAAAGAAGCGAAGCCGCAACGCAAGTAATTTCCGAAAGCCTCACATCCGGACCCAGCGCTTCAACCTCAGTTTCCCTTCTTGCGGTGGAAACAATCACCATTGGGTCTTAAAAAGATTTCTTCATTACTGTAGTTTCTAATTTTTATTTGCTGTTGATTCATTCGTATAGCTGAAATTTTCGCCAGTTATTTTATATTTTTGAACTGAATTGTTTAGTAAAAGAAAGGGGAATTATGCTGAAGAAATACGAAGAAATTGGATGTTTAACCAGCGAACAGTTGCGGAAAATCCAACAATTTTTGTTTTTCGATGAAATTTCGAAAAATAATTCCACCGATGATTGTAATTAATGATTTTTCGAGATTTAATTTAGTTTAATTTAACTTTAGTTTGTTTGGAAAAATACTTTTTCAAGTAATTTTCCACTTTTTAAGATTTTTAAATGGTTTCGCAAAACTTATTTTAATGAAATTTTTAGCGAAATACGTCGATTTGACAAGCGACGACGAAGAGAACGACGACGAGCGCGGCAGCAGCGACGGAGGATCCACAGACAGGGTCGACAGAGAAGCTGGCGTTGTAGCCTGGCAGTGGGGTGATTTCAAGCAGTCGCCGGTATTATTATTTTTTACTGCTCGAATAATTGCTAGTGTGCTTTAGCCTTAGTCGCTTACTGTGCTCACACACACACACACACACGAAAATAAAAGATATGCGGAAGGTCATTAAAAATTGTTACATGAATGAGGGATGCGTGGTAGTTAAAGCAAACTGTGAACTGTGAACTGTTGCTGCTGGTGTAGAGGAAATTCTTGCTGGGAAAACGATACGAGATCGAATAGCTAAATAAATTTATTTATTTATTAAACATTTGTTATTTTATTGCTTTTGTACTAATTTCCATTTTAACTGTAAAAATGATTTCGTATAATTTTTTAATGAAGTATTTATGATAAAAATCTATCTTCAAGGAATCAGAAAATTTTGAAAGAAAACATTCAAATATCGATGGAAAACGAATATCCTGTTGGCTGCAAAGTTCAATCATTGTTGCTGTTGGTAAATTATTAGTTTATTAGTTAATAGTTTATTCGTATTTTAATTTTTTTCACTTTTATTATTCTCCTTATTTATTGGAGAATTATTGAAGCTTAAGCGTGCGATAGTATTGAAAAGAAAAGTCCAATTAAAAAATAAAAATAATAAAATAATGAAATAAAAATAATAAATATATAAGCAAGAAAAGTGGAGTTACATTCAATTTTTATCAGAAATTTATCATTTAAAATTGAGGATGCACCCTTTAAATAATTTTATTTGGTAAATTTTTCTTTTATTCAAACAATTTTCTGAAATTTTTTTCTACCAGAAATAGAATCATTTCCATATTTTCTATTTTTAATTCGATTTGCGGTTTTTTTATTTATATATATTTATATAGTTATATTTATATTTATTTATGTAGTTTATGTAAATCGACAATTTTATGAAATTTGCAGGAGATTTAGACTTATTTATTATTGCTTATAAAAGAAAAGTAGTTGTTATCGAAAGAACCATGCGTGAAAATTCGTTTTTTCAAATAATTGCTGAGTTTAGTATTGTGGATTTTGTTCCAGCTGATGTACGTTTTCTATTTCTTATTTTTTAACAAATTTTCATATTTTTTTATCTTTTTTATCATTATTGCTCTATTTATTTATTTTTTGCTTCGAAATGAGCAAAACTAAATTTCTTCATCATTAAAATTAGGGATAAAAATTAAGATAGTTGATACGATGAATATGAAAATTTGATAAGAGAGAAAGAAAAAGTCTAATGTTTTTAAGTGTCAGAACACGTATTTCAATTTCAAAGCTGGAATTTAAAGTATTCTTAGCTTTTAGATTTTTTCATCTTATGCTCGATTATTGAATTTTACAAATTAAGGTCGTTATTTTTTTAGGCTTTTATTACTTGTGCATTTTTACTGCCAATTAGTAGTACTCGAAGAACCGAAACTTCGTTTTATGATTGGATAACAATTGTTTTGGGTTTTAGTAGTGGTCAAGTCTGTTTTTTCACCGAGCGCGGTATACTTCTTCGTTCAGAAGAAGTTTCATTCGGGTAAGAATTCGTTATATAAATGCATTTTGCTTTCAGTTTTTTAGTCAAAGTTTTTTCAAACTTCCTTTCAATCGATAAAAAAATAAAAAAATTTTTTTGCGTAAAAATGTTCAGTTATTTAGACAGATCGATAAAATCTCCTTTGGGCGATCAATTCTTCAAGGTTATCAAGAATTGGCCATTCTTTCATTTGGGGTTTTGATTTTATTTGATGGTTTACCATTATTTGCTGCACTTAGGACAGCTAAAAGTGAGGTAAATATTTTAAATAAATTAAATAAATTGCTTTTGCATTTAATTTATTAATTTTGATGTGTTGTATCAATCAAAAAAGTGATTAGCACTCATTTCTTAATAAAGTCGCTCCAAATTTTCGCCAGGAAATCGCTTAGGGATAAAAAGAAGTACAGATAAATCCAGCTTCATCCATATTTTTTAATGGCATATTTGCTCCGGATTTCAATGATTATTTGAGCAAATGCTAGCACCCGGCTACCACTTTTGAAAAAGCTTAAAGCTTATTAAATAACCAGTCGTGAAATGTTAAGATAAATAAAAGAAAGGGGAATTTTTTACCATATATATTAAAAATCGAAAATAGAAAAGAGATGAAATAAAATAGTAAATGAATTCAGGTTGCGTTCGGTGAAAAAGATTTACAGAAAATTTCATCATCAAAACTAACATATATTAAACTGAAATTGGAATTTGATATGAAACCATCGGATTTTATAATATTAGAACCAAATAAGCAGTCTTATTTCGATTGCTATATTAGTGCTTCTTTATCTTCTTCGGGTCCTGGAGTGAGATTTTTTTATCATATTGTAAATATATATATATATATATATATATAACATTTTCCTTTTCATTTTTAATTTTTAGTCATTATAATTGTTTTGAGCTACAGGCAAGATTAGATCGATCTTGTTTGCCCATCTGTTCGAATTATTTATTCACCGGTAAATCACCATTTTTGAGTTTTGGTTGCAAAGTTGAGGAAAAATCAACACAGAAAGTTGTTTCAGACGCTATCCAAATATTTGGATCACAAGTTATTTTATTATTATTATATTTGTTATTGGCCACCACTTGACTTGCTAGAAGTATTGAGAGATTTTTAGGATAAGGAAGAAATATCGAAATTTTTTGTGGATATAGCTAGACCTAATAGTCTAAACCCTAATATATTTTCTGTATGGATTTTTCTTTTTTTTTTTTGAATGGGCGACGAGTTTCAGCGGTAAAAAATGGTTAATCATATTTTTAAAAACATTGGTCTTAAGATATGTTCAAAAATCAATATAGTTTCATGGCTTAACCAGTTTTAATAAATTTAGATTGCTTCTTCGATTTATTCAGCTTTACCATCCTTTGGTTTCGCATCTTTTAATCTTGTCTCTGCTAAAAAGGAACGTGTACAAATGTCGATCGCTGAAAGCAAGTTTAATTCAGTTTTACCAATGCGAACTCTAATTATAGATGGTGCACGTTTGGGTGAACGGATATATGCTGCTCCATCTTTCTATAAACTCGCTGTCGTTACAGATGCTCTCGGTCGTATATTTTTAATCGACGTAATTTTTTCCGTTTTTCAACTTTTCTAGAAATTTTCTAGATTTGGTTGATGGTTATAATTTTCATGAATGTTAAAAAAAAGTGTGATTTATAGACCGCGAAAAGGCGATTAATACGTGTTTGGAAAGGTTATCGGGATGCACAATGCGCGTGGCTTGAAAGCTCAATTAATGAAAAAAGAACGGATTCATCCAACATGTCCTCTAAATCAGTTGCTTTATTTTTGGTTATATATGCATCTCGACGTGGATTGCTGGAAATATGGTCTATGCAGGCACGCATTTTGATCAGTTTTTTGCACTTTATTTTTTTCTTATTTGGAACATTTTTTTCTAAATATTTTCCCGGTATTGTTTTCATATGTTTTCTCTATGGACTTTTGGACTTTTCTTTTTGTTTAGAATGGGCGACGAGTTTCAGCAGCAAATGTGGGCATGCGCAGCAGTCTAATTATGGTCCCAACAATAGCGGAACAACTTCTTGGTTCCGATTCTTCCATAGAATCATTTCCTAAAGCATTTTTTTTATCTGTTGATGGTCGAATATTTGTATGTTTTTAATGGATTACTTTCCAAACCATTTCTTTACTAATCTCTAATCTTTAAACTTCAAAAAAGTTTTTTCTTAAGTTTTTTTTTCTTATTTAAAAATGATTTTTTTTGCAGAAACTTTCTGTTTCTTTTTATCATGCTTTTATGGATGAAAAAGCTTTTGGTTTACATGATGAAAATATTATAAAAGAGGTAAACATCTTTCATCATTTTCTGGTTTGTTTGCTCATTGCCTCCATGGTCTCAATTTTCAAAAAAATTGTCTGACTTCTTTAGTTTAATCTGGAAAAAAATGCAAAAATTTTTTGGCTTCTAGATGAATCAGCTCAAGTTTATAACATCTGAAGAAATTTGCTCTTGGCTTAATTTATTTCGTTCTCTCAAATCAAAACAAGCATTGCATCAAGCTATTGATATTATCATACAAAAGAGAGTCGTTGGAACTAATTATCTTATACCTCTAATAGAAGGGATGCGTCATTTTATTATTTCACATCCGAAATTTACGGTATGTATTAATCATGGAAAAAAACTTCCTTCAACATTTTTCAGTTTCAGAAACAGTTTTTCTTTCCTAGTTGTGATTTAAAATATTAAAGTCTTTCAGAAATCACAGAATGATCGAAAATATCTATCATTTGCTTATAATATAACAACAGTATTGGAACTTTTAAAACTTTATGAAGTTTTGCATTCAATTGCTGCAACTGAGGATAATGTAGAAGATGATCAACAATTTGATCGTTCAGAATTATTAAAATTGGATGAATCATCTTGGGAAGTATTTTTAAAACAATTCAATAAGTATGTTTGCGAAAGCTGTTTATTGTCTTAAATATATATTAATTTTACATTAAATTTTTTTAGTATATTGCATTAGTTAAAAATTTGTTTTTTTCAGAATTGGATATCTTATGTTTTATTGACCATTTTCTTATTTGAGCCTTGTATATACAAATATTATTTTATAAAATTGATCAAAAATTGATCAAAAAATCAAAAATCGAAAATATTTCGAAAATTTTCAATTCTGAATTATTTTAGTCAATGTGATTCTTTGTCGAATATGCTCGAAATCCGTGGAAATTTTCTTTTTTGTGACTTCATATCACATTTTGAAATATTTGAACCAGAATCGGCCGCAGAAACTATGCGAGCAAAGTAAATTTGGATTTTGAATTATTTTATTTTAATTTTATTTTAGGATGGAAGCGAACTAATTTATTATGGCGGTTTTATGAGAATCATAAAATGACACATTTTAACATTTTTTGGCAATTAAATTCCTTAAAATATCTAATCAACGTTATCTTTTTTTTTCTAAGAGCTTTTTTTTTCTAAGAGCACTAATTTTTTTCTGGTTAGATTCATTCCACAGATTTATTGTACCATACAAATTTTGCCTGAGAGTTTTTTGCGATAGAAATACCGTAAGATTGTCACCATTCCGATTTTTCATAGAAAAACAAGTTCACTTGTGCCGTGAGCCGATCCTATCGTCGGCATTCTGAAATGGGAGCCCACTGGGAGCCATTCTATTGTAGTATTATCTCTTCTATGAAATGTCAATGAAGGTAATTGAACCAGAAAGATAACGTTGATTAGATATTTTAAGGAATTTAACTGCCAAAAAATGTCAAAATGTGTCATTTTATGATTCTCATAGGGCACATTGGCGATTGAAAACACGATCTGCTTCGTTGGGAAATTTCATTTTCTTTCATTTACTGAATGGACAGTGCTCAGTGGATTATTTTCGGTGTAATATTTTGCAACAATTGAACTTGCCATGGGTATGCTTTGTTTTTGCCTTAAATCCATGTTTGTATGGCCTCATTTAATATTTTGAAAAGAATTTTCATTTCTTTTAGATCTTTTAGATAGATTTACTACAACTATTTTGTATGTTTTGGCTGGATTCACCAATAATCTATATAAAAATCGATCTAGTTCGACTTCTTAAAGTATGTGAAATGCTAATAGTTGATGATGTTCATATAACTGAGTGGTTTCATATTTTGGAAGAGAATATTATGGACAGGTAGGTTTCGATGGGTTTTGGAGGCCCTATTCGCCTTATTTTGCTTTTCTTCAAAAAATTAGACAAGTAGTCGCTGCCAAATTTGTTCAGTAATAAACTTTGAGAAATGGGAAAGGTGAAAAATTTTAGATATTATGAATTGTGTTTTATCATAAATATCGAACTGCAACTTTTATTATAAGAAAATTTCATATCATTGATAGAATATTGATAGAATATAATTTCTCTTTTAAAAAATTTATTTTAGTCGCGAAATCCCTCGTGCATTATCATTATGCATCATTTGCCGAACCATATTTATAAATAAGACAACGGTAATATTTTTTGTTGAAAAATTTGGGATTTTGGAATTGAAAATTTTATTATAGTACATAATAAATTTTAATAAAATTTATAAGTTTTATTATAATACATATAAATGAAGATTTTAAGCTAGAAAATGTTGCTTCACCCGATGATATTTGGGAAACTGTTGAATTCGGTATGAGTCGCTGGGATATATATTTAAAGAACTTAATGTGTATGGCAATAATATCCAATTTACCTGATAGCCCACCTGTTCTGCTTAGAGATTTACTCAAATCTGGACCGGCGTATTATAGAGAGAAAGTTAGTTCCCCTTTAATATTAATATATCATTAATATTTGTTTAAATGCAATTTCATATCGAACTAGTTTGCAGAATTTCGATTTTTTTTCGACTTTTTTCAGAAAATAAAAAGAAAAAACTTGTAGATTGGTGTTTGGTGTTCCAATCATTTACCCGATCCAGTTTTGTTGCGCAGTAGTTTTCAAAATAAACCGTCTGAAGAATCTTTGCAGTGGGTACAGATAATTGTTCATCTAAGAGAATTGCTGCCGTTTAGCTTGCGTATGGATCTTGTATTTTCTGATTGCATATGGGAATGCGTTAGTTCATGGATTCGGAATTCTGCTGTCAATGCGAAACAGATCGAGGTTGTCTTTATATGAGCCTTAAATAAAATTTTTTTTATTAGCAGGTCCACTCTTAATATTGGTGGTTAGAAAAAAAGGTTTAAATTTTCCGTTTAAATATTAAAAAATCATAGATTGGAATGTTTATGATATATTTTTTATTTAAGTTTCGATATTTTATGGTTATAGCTTGCTTTAATACTTTTGCAAATGTTGTTCGAATTTCCGCATTTGCAACATGGTTTATGTCGTCTTCTTTGGGATACGTTTTTCCTGCAGTCTTTTCGGCAGTTGTGGGATTTACTGAATAAGGAAGGAGGTCTTCCTCGGAAAACCACTTCAAGCGAGAATAATGCTATTCCATCGGATTATCTGGTAATTTTAACTGTATTAATTGGGGCATTGTATTAGAATTGGGGAATTTATACTATAAATTTTAATTAATAAAATAAGTTTTTAGAATTATTTTCAGGTAAGTATTCTATTAATTCGAGCAGAATCTGTAATATTATTTTGCTTTTTAATTTCGGTTCATTTATATTTATAATGTTAAACTACATTTTATTACCATTCTTAGCTTTGATTGTTCGTTTCCTAAATGAATAAAGAAAATAGATATACACTTTATTTGCAATATTTTACAGGTATTCGTAAATGCATGCAGAAGAATTTTAGAGATAATGTTCAGAGCGATTCGACAAATGAGTGGTTTTGTCGAAAATGAAATTTTCTACGAAGACTTCATTTATGCTTTTTTCAAAGAATTTTGGCAGAAGCGAGGAAATATTGATAGGTTTTTATCTTAATTTCATCACCATAAGGAATGAAAGATAACCCAGAAAATATGAAATTTTCTCTCGTTTGGTTCTTGATAACTATAGCTTTTTCTTTTTTATTTTTCATAATAATAATAATAATAATAATAATAATAATATTATTATTATTATTATAGAAAACCACTGAGTGAATTGCTTTCGCTGCAAAAAACTGCAAATTTCCATCTTGTGCTTCATCATTGTGATGTTGCAATTATCTTGGAACTAATTGTTGGTTTTTGCCCTTAATTTGCTTTTTATTTCTGGGACAATTATGCAATTTTTTCAGATAATCATTGTTTCCAGTATTGTTTTAAAACAAAGTTAACATAAATAAACGATAAAAATTTTAGCTATCGCTTAATTTACGACAAAAACCTTGCAAAATGTTTGATGCCATAGGTGAACGAGCATTATTTATTGCATTAAATGAACATCCGCTTATACCAATGGATAATGTTGCTGATAGTTTACGCGAAAGACGTCAATTATTTCTAGAATCGTGCGTAAAGGAGATTTGCCATCAAACCAACAATGAGCAGTATTGGAAACTAGTTCTTGATTTATCTCACGATTGGAAACTTGACGTCGCAAGTTTGAAAATCAAAGTAATTCCATTTGTATTCTAATAGTACCAACATTTTGTAACTCTTTGGTATTTGAAATATGGAGGATATTCTAAATTTCAGGAGATCGTGGAACTATATACAGATGGACGAGATAATGAAGCTAAAAAGCTGGTCTCAGGTATTGATGCGAAATTTGCACTGGTTCAAAAATTGTTACCCGTTCTTTTGTCTCGAACTCGTGCTTTATTAGAGAATGGTGGTCAAGAGTTACTTAATGAGGCATGGAGATGCGCAATTATTAATGATAAGTATGTTCTACATATTACTATGCAGCAGTTACAATTACAGTAGAATGGCTCAGTGGGATTGCTCAATTTGGAGTGCCGATGCTGAGGTAGGAATAAACCTGTCCAAAAATCCGGGTGATACTGGTGATACCCACATGTATTTCTAGAGCTTCCTCGCCAGGAGCTTCCTGGTTCAATGTGATAAGCGGAGCGAGTTTAACCAGTAACCAATAATGGTGAGAGAAAAAAAAAATTATAAAACGTTGTAGATAAATATAGCTGTTTACAGGTTTCTCAATTTGATTAGAAAGGATAATTTATCTGTGATAGAGCCTGTTAACCACAATAATTTCAAAGAACTTCTCGAAATTATGGAAAATAGTTTAAAATTTGCATCTGAAAGTGATGAAACAATTGGTTATCAACGTCTCTTCAAACGTCTTCATCAATTACTTCAAATTATTAAATAATTATCTTCCATATCTTAGGTTTTTCTAATGTTTGTAACTTTATTTTTATATGTCCAGCGAATATTTAGTTTTTTCACTTGTAAATTTTTTATTATAGCCTTAATTATCTGCAAAAAGTTGGTTTTTTTTATTGATTTGCATTGATTTTTTTGCTTTTTTATTTAATTTAATAAGAAGGAAGTGATATTTCTTGGGAGCTGTGACTTTAAATCTTCTTTATTTTCTTGCTTTTTTATTTCTCGTCATTTTTTCATCTTTTATTTCAACACTATTCTTCCACCAGATGTTTGCATTAATAGTTTTCCATACTGTAGTCTTACATTTCATTAATCTCGTACCATTCCTGCATCTGAAGTCAGAATCGTATTCTCTCCACGCAATTGAAAAACTGAGGTCGATAACCTTTTTTTTAGAATTTTTAGGTTATATTTCAAAACTTTTAGTTGAATTTTCACTGAAATTTTTCTTGTCGTTTTTTTATTACGGGTCATTTTATGTGATATGATTTTATTTCGATATTAGTTTCGTATCAATAATAAACAATCTTAAACTGTTTTTTACAACTTTTCATTGGTGTAAAAGATCGAATATCCGTTATCATCTGATTCTCAAACCGCATGTCTGCGACCTGTTAAGCCGAAAGAAAGCCCGACGAGTAGTGGGTTGTTTACTTGTAATTGCGTTGGAATAATCGATATGTTCAGTCATATGATGGCTTTTACTGCTGGGCTGGTATTTGTCGCTATTGTGGTTGGTTGGGTGGTGGTCTTGTCGGTTTGGAGTTTTATGTGGGGTTGGTTTCGAGATTGTCAGGTCGGAATTCGAGAGCATGGTTTGGGTTTAGATTGGGACTTCAGTTTTGACTTCGGATTGGGATCGTTCTTTGCTTATTTATTGGCCGACAAAAAAATCGAGTCGCGCTTAATATAAAATATTTTCAAATTGTGGTTCAATTATTAGAGATCATAAGTTTCAATTAATAGTATATTTCTGGAAAAAGTCAAAATTTTCTTTAAGCAGTTCGATCAGATGTTGCCAACTGTCACGTCTGCGATATATTTTTATCGGACAACGCATTGGAACTTCAGTTTTAAAGCCCAATTTTCCTTTGCCCAGCAAGAAGTTTCGTCAAGAGACCCCTCCACTTCCCATCTCCGCGGAAAAAAGAGACAGTTTTTGAGGCTTATTGAATGATAATTTTTGGTGGTACTAGCTGTTGTTTTATATTTTATTTACTTTTATATATATACATATTTTTTAATGTTTCAGCTTTAATATTTTTTAATATTTTAATATTTAAATGTGACAGACATTGGTTATCTTTATGGTTTATTTTATATAGTATTTCAAAAAACGGCTGGTCGATTATATTGCGAACGATGAATTTGTAAAGTTTGCATCGTTTAAACGGTATAAACTTTCTTTGTCTTCTTTTTTATTTCGTTTTCTAAATTAGTCAATTATCAGTAGGTGTTGATTTTTTTTTTTCGGTGATCGGCTAGCCATCTGATTTTGTTCATTAATATTTCAATTATTGATTAATTTTTTTGTTGTTTCTTTGAGTTTTTATTTTTATTCATCAAATCCTATGGATTAGGCATTGTTTTACAAATATTTCATGATAAAACGTGCTACTCAAATTTATTTTTGAAGATTTAAGCGTTGTCGATTCGCTTGAAGGAAAAATGGTGAATGGTAATTGCATTTGATTTTGAGGAAACGAAGCTATTCTCTTACGAAAAATAATCTCTGTCGTCAGCTGTCAGTTATCCTCAGCAATAACAACAATAAAAATTAAATGTTAGTTTAATGAATTTTTGATAAAAAAAAGCTCCGCATTCTTAAATTTCATGGAAATTTTGCTGTTTTTTCTTTAAAAAATTGTTATTTAATCAGCAGTTTAATTATAAATTTTAATTTTCTTTTAAATTTTTAAATTCTTGAAATTTTAGTTTCAGTTGGTATTAATTTGATGCCATGTGATATGCATTGCACGATATTTATGGATGAAACGGTTACTAAGTTTATTCAGGTGTCGTGTAAATTTGCAATGCTGAGAGGCTTTGAATCTCACTTTTTATTTTGTAATAAACGATTTCATGGAATATCAGATTCGCTCCGACTCTAAGATCCTCTTTTTTCTAATTCCCTCACCATTTTTATTTTGACTGAATTCACTAGTTATATTAGATCTTAGAATTATTAGAAAAAATTTTTCTGCCAGTGAATCATCTGAAGGTTATAAGGGTTGATCAGATAGCGGTAGGAATTAATTTCTTTTTGAAATTTAAATTTTTTATTCAATATATTCCAGTCTGAATAATAGGAATAATAATGATCAGTCGTTATTTAACAGTAAGTTATCAATGATTTTGATAGGTTTATCATATCGAAAACAAAATCTGCATAGACTGAGACAACAAGCTAAGCAGTATAAGCAGTAGCCACTCTATCATGCCGTCTCACCTCTGTGTACTGGTACAATTATTTCAACCTCAAAAAACATTGGTTTTTATTTTTTTCAGTTAGAACTGCATATTTTAGAAAAAGTGATAGATGCGAAGTAAATACCAATGAAAAATGAAACGGAAAATGATTCCGTTTCATTTTGCTTCATTTGGAGTGAATTATCAGTCTACCATGCTTTAAAATGAATTGTTAAACTGAATTGTTTATTGGTTATAATTGATTAATGATGGCAGCGGTGGCATTATTTATTGTCATTTGTCTTCTTTTTGTTCTTCAGAAATTACAAAATTCAGATATTAATGGATTTGCACTTTTTTTTCATTATTATCAATTTAGAATTTATAATTTTTATTAAAAATTATTTTGTGAACTGTTGCAAATGAAAACTGTACGATCATATTTCAAATTTTCTCAAAAGGATCTTCAAAAATACGAAATAAATAATTTAGAAAATAAATTATTGTTAATATGAATTTTGGCAATACTTAATTTTAATTTTTCAAATATTTTAATAATTTGTTTATGAACTAAAAAAATGAGTGAATTTTCGTAAATTTTTTTTAGCTTTTCCTGTTTTAAATTCAGCGAATTGGGTTTTTGATTTATTTATTTTAAATAGAAACGATAATTGATGATTATTTTATTCTGCTGGTTATTAGATATTTCCATTAACTATGGTATCATTTTTTAAGGTAATTAACATAGAGGTGAATATATATATATATTTAATTTTGCAGTTATGTTTTTAGATATATTTACTGTGGTATTATATTTCTTTTCATTTTTCATATGTACTTCGGAGATTTTTATCGGAAAAGAATTCCCGTGCAGATTCTCAGCTATGAATTGTTTTAAATATTTTTCTAATTAATTTTTTAATTGCATCCATGAAATGAGTTTTTGGCCATAAAAGATAGGGAAGAAATAAGGTATATATGTTTATCTGAAACACATTTTTCATTTAAACGAAATTTTAATTTGTTTCTTTTTTTGAGTGATTTCTTTGTTCTGCGTTCGAAAAATTATTTTTGTCTCATTGTGCATGAAAAATATCGTAAAGTGGGCATTTTTATATTCATATATTATGAAGAGAAATTGTTCTTACAGAGTATAGTCGCAAAATGCCATTGCCGCCTGCAGCAGAAAAATTATTAAGTGATGTGGATAAGAAACTACACGAAGAAAATCAAGTGAACAGAGTTCTGGAGCAGATCGAAACGAAAACTGGAGTTAAAAGGCTGCATATCGTTATCGGTTGAAAAATATTTTCATATTTTTTGGTAGAAAAATGGTTTTACGATTCTCCATGTTACAATCAATTCATTTAAATAATGATGAACAAATCATTTGGGGAAAATTTTGCTAATTGGGTAAATATCTCGGGTTGACATGTTGGGAGGACGATTCATATTTCTTTCTTCCCTCACCTGTGAGGGAAATTCTGCCATTAAGAATCCCAGCAGTGCTGGCGACATGCCTTTATTTTTGCAAAAAAATTACCAAATTGTAAAAATAGCAAAAATTACCGCACCAATCTGATCTACCATTTAATTTTTTATTTTAATTGTTTAAAGAAAAAAAATCAGCTGTTTGTGAGGAAAAAAAGATGTGGTGCGATAAGCCACTGATTGATTTTAATAATAATTAAGATTTTACGACAAGTTTAAGTCATAGCTTCTAAAATAAAATTGCAGGATTTATTGGCTTGCATGCGCTATATTTGATATTTGGACGTTTTGCTGAATTGTTGTGCAATATTATCGGTTTCGTTTATCCCGCTTATATCTCGTCAGTGTTTTTTAAATGTCTTATACAGAACCTTTTTGTTTTCATTGGTCATCAAAGTTATAAAAAAGAAAAGAAATTTTTACATAATTCAAGAAACTTTAAGAATGAAAGCAATTGAATCATCAAGTAAGGATGATGATACCCAGTGGTTAACATATTGGGTTGTGTTCGCTTTGTTCAGTATTCTTGAATTTTTCTCGGATATTTTCCTTAAATATTTCCCGATTTATTGGCTTGTCAAGGTATGCGGTTTAATTTCCTGTATTACAAGTAATAGTTTTATTTTTTTATTAAATTTAAATTCAGTGCGGTTTTCTATTATATTTATATTCGCCAATGACGTTGGGTGCGCAGAAAATTTACCATCGTTTCCTTCAACCCTTCATTCGTAAGCATCATATGTCAATCGACAAACATATTGGAGAAGCTGCTGATAAAATTGGAGAAAAATTGAACGGTTAAATTTACGTCAGATATAGGGAATGAAAGAGAAATATAAAAATTATTACAAGGTCGCTAGTAACACTAATCGAATCCGCCAGTCCCTTCCTTTATTTATTTACCATCGTTTCCTTCAACCCTTCATTCCTTTATTTAAGGCTATTCATTTTCTAACTTTTGGCTAATTTTATTGTCTGATTAGCTGATTGATTTTTTGCCGAAAAATCCCTTAGGCGTGTCCCCCATTTTCACTGCTGTTTCACTTTTAATTTTGCTGCCATCAGGGAATAGGAATCGAGTTTGCAGTTCGATTCGATCTTACTTTTGATTTTAGTCGAAAGGATAAACCATTTGATCATCGTGTTCACAATTTAACATTAATAGCAAAGTGACTTAAATACAAATGACTTAAAATTTTTCAAAAATTTTCAATTAGCTTAAAAATTATGTGTTTGCAATATACCGAATTTTATGACCCTGAATTTTAAGTTTTTCCAAAAAGTTTTTTTGGCTGAAAATTTTAGACGATATTAATTTAATTGTATTTTCAGCTGCTCGTCATGAAATTGAAGAACACATAAAGCCGAGCTAAACATTTTTTTTTTTGCAGAGCGCAGTGCTGCTATACATGCAGTGTTTTTGGTTTGTCAAAACTGAATATTTAATCAATTTATTTATTTTTTTAAAAAACTCAGTTTTATTTATAGCGTTTTGCAGCAACAAAAACTTTTTTGGTTTTTATGACAAGCTTTAGCTTTAGTTATTCGTTTTATTGGCTTTAGTTGCGCCATTGGAGCGACCTAATTTTTAAATTTTTTGTTGGTTAATGTGAACTGTTTTTTGTAAGAAAGTGGTTTTATAAAAACTTTTAATTTTGGAATTTAGAAATTTTCTTTTATGTTTTTCAGAGCTTTTTACTTTTTCACTTTTTTTGTATAATAAAGTTTTCAAAAATTTGAGCATTTACAAATTTGCTTATTGTGATCAAACAATTATTGATGTTTGTTGATTTCGAGTTTTTTTGTTGAAACCTGGGAATCAATTTTGTGCGACCAATCATTAATTCTTTGTCCATCCTGCTCAACTTACAAGATTTACAAGTAGATGAAGATTTTGATTTCAAACTAAAATGCCTATTAAATGGATGCGGCTTCTGAACTAGTAGATACCTGCCAAAATCCATTTTGCCGATTTTACTCTATAGCTTCAACTAAATTTGTAGAATAGCACTGGATATGCCTAGAAATGAACTCGAAGAAATTTTTTTATAATTTTATTACAATTTTTTTGGAAAAAAAGAACAATAAAAAATCCGTTGATAGCATTATACTAGTGATAACCTTTCACGATGTCACCGTCATTTTGTTTGTTCTTTTTCTGCTCTTGAGTTACAATCTTACCACTGTAGGAAGGGTGGTGTTGGGAAGCGAAATATGCATTTGCTTGACTTCTCTCTTTCTCTTCATTCCCTTTAATTACTGTACTACAAAATAACCCTTTTATGCTCACAGAGTGGAGAGGCGATAATTTTCGATCGACGTAACCTCGCTTGTCCTCATCTATAACATCAGTGAATAAAAATTACAGTCGCTGAAAAAGATATATATTTTGACTTCAAAGTGAATTTCTGCTTGACAAAATATACAAAAAGAAGCAAAAAAAGACCAGGAAATTATCCTTTTGAAGATAACCAAAATAAATTGCGAAAAAGATTGAATGATTTAAAAATTCGTAATAAACGATAGATAAAGCCGACAAAAAGAGAAATAACCGCTGCACGGAAAGCAAACCTTCGATAAAATAGAAAAGTAACGGTCAGCTGTGGGGACCTATACAACGGTTGCTAGTTGATCACCGCTATAAATAAGAGGGAGGCGCAGAAGGAGTTGGATTGTGAACACATGGCATGCGATTAATGCATGGCACGCCTCAGGGCTCAGAGCTGTTCAGATAAGTGTCCCAGCGTCAACGTTTGGTTCGGGGCTGGTCTCGGACGAACCTGCAGTTGAGAATCCCTGCCTGGCAAATACTGATTGTCTTGCTTATTGCCACTGAAACCACGAAGAATTCAAAACTTCGGATACTACCGGATGCCGAACAAATGCACTTTGCCTATAAGAGTGCCTTAACTCGACGAAAGCTCTCTTGGAGATCGGCTTCACCATAAAGAATTTTTTTCTCGTGAAATTTCCTATCTCGAAAGCAAAAGAAACTTTAAGGTGAGTTCAGTCGACCATATTCCACTTAAATCTAAAATTCGGCCTGTTCTCTATTCTTAAATTTCGCCCTTCCACGATAATTTTTTTTTCTTTTCATTAATAGTTTTTTATTCAGTTTTCCAGGCTTTCCAACAGTTTCAATTTTCTTGCATTAATTGTTGAGTGTTAAGAGTGTTATCAAATAATTAAATGAATTATTGTTGTTAATTAAGTATTTTTTTGCTTTTCTATTTTTCTGGTTTTGTTTCTTTTTTATTTGTTTTTTTCAAAACAGTGAAATTTTTAGATGTCAAATATTGGAAGTCGCCGAAAAAATCCATTAAATTTAAGTTTGCCGGCGACAGTCAAAGAAAACGATGTAACGAAAAGTAATGAAGAAGAAGAATTAGGTGGAAGCAACGTAAGGACATTCTCACTTGAGGAACAAATCAAGCAAATGACATTGACCGAACCACAAAAACGTCGAATGCAAGAATTTATGCAAGAAAAAAAACAGGTCAATTGTTTTTGAGCGGTTCTTTCTTGTTTTTGTTTGTTATTTTAAGGTAGCAGTTTGCATTCCCTTCTTTATTTCAGCAGTGCACCCCATTTCTGGTTTGGTCGGCTGCACTGGTTGCTAGAATGGTACCCGTTCATGGGAGCTACGTAGGAACACGCATGGGCCTCCAGCATTGTTCTCGAATTTTACCTTCTCCATCAAAGAATAAAATTCGAATCCATGGTGGCTTAGTTTTGACCCATTTAATACACCAACCAACCAGTCTGTTTCGTAATCGGCAAATATAATCTTTCAATTGTTGATCTCCATTCTATCTAATTCAAACTGGCTAGTTGGCAAGTGTAAGTCACTCTCTCTTTCGCTTTTAGCGTCCCAAGGCGGCGGCATCTTAGGGAAAGGGGAAGGGAAAGCAACAAATTCCTTCAGTTTGCAAACGTAGAGGACATTACACGACATTATTATTATGCATTATTTTTGCAATTTTTTTTATTAATTCATTGGAATCATTGGTTTTTTAGAAATAAAATTTTGCACCACGAAATTGCTTTTGTTTTTTTTTTATTTTAAGAAATTATTCGTTAAATATTTTGGGGGAATACGCGAAATTTATTCCAAATTTTTGCAGAAACATTTTATTTCTTTAAACCTTTTCAGTTTGTTTAAGATGTTTTTTATAATTTTCTTTTCTGATATTCGTATTTCTTCGTTCTTTTTATTTTATTTATTGTGCTTTGTTTATAAAATAAAAATATTTCTTAAATACAGATTGAAACACCAATGTTTAATTGAAATTTGAAAATTTGCAAATTGAAAAACGCTGAATTAAACGCAGAATTAAATTAACATAATTTTTAAATATTTCTTTTTCAGATACCTATAAATGAACTGAGTGAAGATATGCTGGAAAAGATTTGTGAATTAGGTCATGGTAATGGTGGTGTTGTTAGCAAAGTTATGCATAAGCCAAGTAAGATTGTCATGGCGAGAAAACTTGTGCACTTAGAAGTGAAACCATCTGTACGATCTCAAATTCTAAAAGTTAATATTTGCCTTATTTATAACATATATTTTCATATGTTTTTCCTGAATATCTTTGAAGTTTTTGTTCAATATTTAATATTCAAATAATGATATTCAAATTGTTATATTCAATGATTGTAGTATTCAAATTTTTATTCAAATTATAATGTTTAAATTGTTATATTCAATATTTTCTACTTAATATTTATTATAATCCATCATTTTTTAGGAATTGGATGTATTAAACAAATGTAATAGTCCTTATATTGTTGGCTTTTATGGTGCTTTTACTGACAATAATGATATATCTATTTGTATGGAATTTATGGATGGTTTATCCCTTGATGTTATTTTAAAAAAGGTATTCAATTGTTTTAAGAAATATTGAATTTGAATTTTCCAAGTAGTACTGATAACCTGCCTGTATTTCTGTCGCTAAGTTATTTATTCTTTGGCGAAATTTATCCAATTAGCCAGGGGCGTGAGTTGAACCAGAAATGATAAGCGCTTTTGAAAAAAAAATTCAAACTATGGGCCAGACAATTTATGATTCGAAGAATTTATAATTTTTACAATTTTAATTATAATTAAAGTTAATAAAAAAATAGTTTAGAAAAGTTAATCAAAAAATAAGTTCGGCGTAAAATATTCTATTAATAAAATGATTTGAAAAAAAAAGAATCATCAATGCCATTTTTTAAAGTAAAAAATTTTGATGTAATTGGTGATTCTTTTGCATGTTGGGGTAAATTTGAAATTTTGGAAAGAAGCCGTGATTGCTGAAGTAATTGTACATCATATCATTAATCGATCATTGTTCATTGGCCCATCATTAATTACATTTTGTCTGTTTCATTTTCTTTCAAAAGTTTGTCTTTTAAAAGTTCATAATTTCATAATTTTATCAAATTTATTAATAAAATTCTCGATTAAAATCATTCACTGATATAAATTTAATAAGTTTATATTTGGCAGAGAAAATTATTTTTATAATTATAGTTATGGAAATGAAAAATAATTTTCCTGTAATAATAAAGATAACTAATTATAACCATTAGAATAACTTTTGTAATTTCTTATCAGTTGTATATTTCGTCGAATTAAATAAGATTTAATTTATTTTTATAAAATTCTATTTAGTTATATTAAATAAAATTGTTCAAAATAATATAATTTTAGGTATTACAATTATAATTTATATTTGAACCCAGCAAGATCCAATGGGCTAAAATCACTAAGACCTAGCAAAACTAAGGACTCATAACCTCTTTATTCTTGGAATCAACTACCGAACGATTGCGCGTTTGTAGTTTGCGCGTCATCCTTAGTTATTTTAAAAAAAAGATTGGATAATATCATTTATGGTACTATTTAAAAAGTTCATATCATGCAGTTTTGAAATCTTGATTTCTACTGTTCAATTATATAAAAGTAATACATTCGAATTGTACTATTTCATAACTCCTTATTTCCTTCTTTATTTCCTCTTTCCTTTATTAATTTTTGTCATATTTTCTTGTTTCTTTTTCTTTCCTTTTTTTATCTTTAATTTATTTGTTATTTTAACTGTTGTTATTAATACAAGCACATGACGCTTGCCTCCCAATTTGGTTGGTTTTCAATAAACAAGTTTATTATTTTGCAGGTATCTCGATTGATTGAACCACGTGTTGGTCGAATTGCTGTGGCTGTTATACGAGGCTTATCTTATTTGAAAAATGAGCATAAAATTTTACATCGCGGTAAATAATTTGGACCATTTTTTCCTCATACATATTCATCATTCGCTAATGGCTGATTAATCTTAGTCAGTTGCGGTTGGAATAGTTCCATATTAGATGGTCGTTCCTTTCGCGGCATTGAAATGAGCAATCTTCATGGATCATGTTACGGTCCGAGCTAAGATCCGCATGAAATTGATAATTCGCAAAAAACGGTGTCCCCGAGATCTTTCAACTATCTCGAACTTTTCGTCAGAAGTGAGAGCATTTCAAATCATATTATTGAAATACATCAGTGTTACAAATCGAAGCACCTCAGTGAAATGAACATCAGTAACATCTCTGAAACGACATATGAATACTGGTCTCAACTAAAGGAATGTCTCCGAAAGGCAGCCATTTCCACATAAGGATGTACTAGTAGGAAGCACGCTAGTTGAGGAATGGAATTGACTGTCCAACTATCAAAAGGCTGCTAAAATACTAAAGTGTGAATATCAGATCTTGACTATCGGATCCTTCGAAGAATTGCAAAGACAGCAGCTTGGCACGACAGAAATCACTATTGGATCGACATGGCCTTGAGAATGGAAATGGTGGCCCGATTAGGCAATAATAAAAAATTATTACGCCTTTTTCATTAAACAATTTAACTCGGGAACGATCAGTGAAATGGTAAGAGATAGCAACGGTATGACCGTTAAGAATATTATGGATTGTCTCATAAAATGGAGGCAATTCTTTGAGGCCAAACTTAACTATGATGCGCCATCTGTTGATCTGAACCTTGCAGATACGTTCGTCAAATTATTCGTTTGTAACTAAGAACCGCTAACAGAAGAAGAAGAAATAATCTCCGTTATCTATAAGCTTAAGGCTACAGGAAAAAATGGTCTTCGTGCTGAACTCTTCAAATGTTGTTCATCGTCCTTCACGCACCTTCAACAAATGTACTTTCTGGTATGGAAGAAAGGAATATTACTAGATGACCGGAGCAAAGCATTTCTGCTCCTAATTCCCAAGAAAAGTGATAGAACATATTACAACTATTATCGAGAAATCAGCCTACTAGACGTCTTAGCGAAAATTTTGATTCTTTTTACTCAGTAGACTTATGATAGCACGGGACAGCAGGATGCGCCCTAATCGAGCTGGATTCAGGTGGGGTTATACTGACCAGGTATTCAAGTTAAGAAGGATGTTAGAACATCGATTCAAATATCCAATCGATTCTGCCACCTACCATTATGTGCTTCATCGACTTTACGGCTGCCTTCGACCAATTGATAGAATTTGAATAAATGCTTTGGAGAGTGATGGAGCATAACGGTGTTCTAGAGATCATTCGACTCACAAAGGTTTTTTATCAGCATACCCTGACACAACTATGTATATATGAGGAAATGATAGACCTTTTTGAAATAGAACAGGTGTCCGTCAAGGCTGCATCCTTTCCTCTGTAATATTCAACTATGCGACTGACTGGGTAATAGACACCGCTTGTCGGCACTCAAGGATTGTCCAAATCAGTCCAGAGCATTGTATCACAGATCTTGAATACGCTGATGATGAAGTCCTTTTTGCTTACAGTTATTACGAAAAGGAATGGCTTCTATTACTGTCGGCGATGATTTTAGATCGCAGCTTGAAAACATCTTATCCTTGTAGCCATTGGAGCTAGCCTAATCAGCGATGGTGAGAGCTGTTAGAAGAAGAAGAAAAATGGCTGATTAATGCTATAAATTTTTTTATTTCAACCAACGAATAATTGTGCATCTGGAATATTTCATAGAATATTCGAATTTACATCTATCACATCTATCTACACATATAATAATTTGTTCGAATTTTTTGCAGTTTAAAATTTTCACCTATCATTTGATTATATTTGTGGTTTTTTCTTTTAAAAAAAGTGTTCTTATACGATAAAATTGCTATTTCGGATGATTTTGTTTCTTCCTCAAAATTAAATATAGATGTTCTAGATGTAAAGCCATCAAATATTCTTGTGAATGGTCGCGGAGAAATAAAATTATGTGACTTTGGGGTATCTGGAATGTTGATCGATAGTATGGCGAATAGTTTTGTCGGTACGCGATCATATATGGCAGTAAGTCCACCAATGATTTTATAATTTTTCATGATTTCAACTTTTAAATTTTTTAACTGTGCTTAAAAAAATGAAACTTGACCTAATGTTGCTGTAGTTAGTTAACTGAAACAAGAAGATGAAATGAATCCACTTTATTACTAAAGATTTTTCAAAATTCGTTTGTTTCTTTTAGCCTGAGAGGCTTACGGGCAATTATTATAATGTACAATCCGATGTATGGAGTTTTGGCCTATCACTGGTAGAAATATCAGTTGGCCGATATCCAATTCCAGCTCCAACAGCTAGCGAATTCTCTATAATATTCAATATACCTGAAGAAGAAATAGAATTTCCTGGCGGAATCTTACCTGTCGCACCATCCTCGACCCCATCAACACCTAGAACAATGGCGATTTTCGAATTGCTGGATTATATTGTTAATGAGGTTTAATTTACTTTTTTTTCAATGGCATAAGTAACGTAACTCTTTAAGCAAATAAAAAGTTTTTTGCATCAAAATGAACATCCAAATAAATTGTGGTACTTACCAGATATACGCTGCCAAAATTAATCCTTCCTTATACAGAAACTAATAGATCTTTATCTTCTGTGCAAGAAATTTTTGATTTTAATTTTAGCCACCTCCCGTATTGCCACTGAAAATTTTTTCGGATGATTTCGTGGATTTCGTTAGCAAATGCGTTAAGAAGAATCCGATGGAGAGGGCTAATTTAAAAATCTTAAGCAATCATTCTTTTTACAAAATATATTCGAATTCTGAAGATGGCGGTGAATTTGCTCGATTTATTCGTGAAGTAACTGAATCCAGCCGAATGTATTTGTCTTGACATCACTTGCAAACATTTCCTCTTTTATTGGTCCGATCCCTAGTTTAGCTTGTTTGTCTTTTTTAACCATTTTTTAATCTATTGTATGCGAATAATTTTTAATATTAATATCTTTAATATTCGATTATATTCTCATTAATTGTTCATTATTGAAATATACTGCTCTCGGAAATGTTAAATTATTTTTTTATTAATTATTTCCTTCTTTATTTATAGAAGTTTTAGATGAGATATTTTTAAATTTTTAAATTTTAAATTTCCGTAAAAAAATGGTTTCACCACTTGTTTCCTTTTTTTCTTTGTAGGTCTTTTTTATTTTATAGAACGTGAATAAATTATTATTTTGATAATTTTTATTATTCCATTTTTATAATGAGCCTATTGTTTATCAAAAACAAAATGACAACAATAAATAATAATACTAATGCAAATAATTCTCCAGATTAAGCCTCAGTCATTGTAAAAGCGTTATGTTTCTAATTTTTTATAATTTTTTAATTTTTGTCTGTTTTAATAGTTTGTGGCGAAATATTTTTATTTTCATATGGATCTTGTAAATTATTTGTCTCATTTCATGTTAAAGATTGGAGACTAAAGCAATGGAATTTTGAAAATTCGTTTTCAATTATCCTTTTTTTCGCTTTTCATTGTTTTCTTGTCGCCGTCGTTTAATTCTAAAAGTTTATTTTCAAAATTTTCTTGCATTTGAATATGGAAATGAAATTGTGGTGATAATTCTTCTTTTTCGGCGAAGAAAATTTAAATTCTATATTAAATTTTATATTTTATTTAAAGGCAAAATTTTCAAAAATAAAAAATCAAGTCTGAAAGAAATTTGATCAAAAAAAATTTAATTTAAAATAAACAGATCTTTTGGTGTTTCTGGATTTCGGTATTTAGAAATTTTGCCCTTAATTCTCCATTACTTTCATCTCACATATCATTAAACGTTCATTTTCTTTCTTTCGATTATTGTGGTCATTGGTCAATTAAAAATACATATCAGAAGTTGTGATGATTTAATGTAACAATATGAAAAGAAACTGGCCACTTTTTTGGTCTTACTATTATTTCTATAATTTCTAAATTCAAAAGACATGATACTGGAGTGAAATAATGGTAATATCCGTGATACATCATAATCGAAAGAGGAGGAGGGAGGATGGAGGATGGAAGAGTGGCAATGGTCCACATCCTTGTCGAGTACGCAGGTCAAAAAGAGAGGGAGATATTTGGACGGCCAACATATCCCGAAAAAAGTTTGACTGGTCAGTCTCCAATCGAAGATTAAAAAGAATTAATTTTTTTCAAAATATATTTTACCCCATGTAAATAAAAGTAATAACTGTTTTAAATTTCATTATGCTAAATTTAGTATCTCAATATTCAGTATAAAAGAAGAATGAGAAATATAAAATTGTAAGAAATTATTAAAATAAAGTGGTACTTGGTGTTATAATTGATTCATCATGAGATTTTGATTTTCTGCTTGAAGCCCATAGAAATAACGTTCCAACTATAAAAACAATAGCGACTAGTGGTATGAAGAGATGTATACCTGATATCAAAAAAGGCGATTATTAAATAAACTTGGGCTTAGGATCTTGAAGTTAAAAAAGGTAAAATCTTAGGCTTAGACTTAAATGTTAAAACTCTGGTATGGCTGCAAATTTACCGCACCTCTTATTGCAGACGATTCTCCGGTGAAGAGATTTACTCAGTGAAAAAGCCAATGATTTATAAAATGAGCAATCTCATCAATAGGAGGATGGATTCCGTATTTATAAACCTTATAAATCAGATCGTAAATACGAATAATTTAAAGTCCAAGAAGCCCAAAACTTTACAAGAGCTTAATCTCTTCACCGGAGAATCAGAATTGATAATCTGATTATAATCAAACGTTCCTTAATCTCGCAACTACCGTTTGGGATTTTAATCGATCGTATCATTCCCATTTTTTAACTTTATAATTCATATAAACATTATCTTACCTTCAATTATGTCATAAACCATATCCATATTCCAACCGCAATTATTAAAAAAATTACTGGAACGAAATAGGTGATAAGCAGTGGTAAGGGATCGAGTTTTGGGAAAACTCGAAGAAATTTTATCAAATATTTATCAAATATTTTAATGACGAAATAAACTATTCGATGGGATTCCCAGCGTTTTATGTTGAATTTATTTGCTTCTAAATGTTTGCAAATCGATATTCTAAAGCGACCACATCTACATCTATGAAAAGCCATTTTAAAAAAAATCTGTAAATATTCGATTGAATGAATCTTGGAAGAAAAAATTGGCTCAAATTTGGTTCCGGCTTTTTGCTTCTAACAGCACACGCCATCTTTGACTTGGTTTCTTCTACTGACTGGTCGATCTTTTCGTTAAAATCACTTGGTGATAGGCAATCTTCACTTGAATAACAGCTCGTATTCCTATCAAGAAACTGCCACTGAACTCTTTTGTTCTTAAATCAGATAATATACAACTCCACTACCATCATGTTGGCATGGTGAGCCAGTCAATTATCCTATTTTCGAATCATGAATCTAGAATTTTAGCCTGGAATTTTATCTGTGCACAAATCTCCTGGATATTCGTTTCACCTTTATGCAATGAACGATCTTCTAAATAGTAAAAATAGATTCTTGTCACGGAATCTTGCAGAAAAACCATATTCTTTGGAGTCTAATATTGACCCAAATAAGTTTCAATAAACCAAATCGAAATATTTGTAACGAACAATGCATAATTTATGAATATCTTAGAGAAAAAATAAAAAAGTCGCAATAAATAAATGTACAAATGTAGAATTTTCCACATACTTCGAGGCTTTTGTAGGTCATTCCGTAACTCTTGCGAACAATTACGCAACGAATAAAATAAAAATTGGTCGAAAAATTGAAACATGAAAAAGTGCTTATTGTTTTGAAAATATGCCACTGCAGGAAGTGCATTATGTGAAAAGGCAACCAACCATAAAAATCATCCTAATCGCCTTAAGAAAAAACCGTCACCACCACAGAAAACATCATTTTACTTAAACCAACTCTTTTTATTAAATTTAAAAAAGTACATAAATACGCCACATGTCATGTAGCAAACAAATTCTTCTTTCTGTGCCTTATTTTAAAATTCCTTTATATTCTAATCAAAATGGAGCAAAAGCAGCAATAATTTTAAAAAATTAGCTGTATTAGGAATTTTTGTGTTGAATCTGCGTGTGGTAAAGATCCTGGATGCCATACAAGCCCAGCGGAATTGTAATATAGGCAAAATAAATGAATTTTTATCTGGGTATGATTTTTACCAATGAAAAGGTTTTAACTGCAAAAAAATGTTTTCGAGCATATATGTTTCTGTTCAATTAGGAAATATAATCTGTAAAGAAAAGACTGTATGCACAGACTACGATGTTGTATACCAACATTACGAAGTGATATGTAAACATTATGAAGAAACATAACAAATATCGGCTCGGAATGTAGAACCATCCAAATTCTTTTCGACAAAAATGTTTGAAATAATTTCCAATTTGGTTCGCATATTTAGCATATCCGACCTATTACCGTGATGGTGGTAATAAACAAGAATAGATAAAAGGTTTAGCAAGTTGAGGTATTGGTGCTAATGTATACGCTGCACCTTTAACAAGTTCTATAGCTGAATCACTTTGCGGCGTCACAATTTGATCATGTTTTTCATTTTCAACTCTGATCGGAAGCAATTTTGAAAACGGAGTTTTCTTCGCAATTATTTTATCCACTTCGCCACTCCTCATCAGTGATTGTTTTTTGCATGATATTACATCAATATTCTAAAAATCACAGAAAATCTTAATGGTTTAAAAATCACAAATCACCTACATAAAACCATCAAATAAATGAATAAAAAATTATAACGGTCTATATCAGCAATCAGGTTCTGTGAGCAAACGGTAGGCCTTTGCCATAGCTGGAATATCAGAAGACTGGTACCAAGCGATAACCATTCATATACTACAAAATATCGTGTGAACATCGCTTGGAAGTCAGACTTTTTTCCTTCTTTTTATGCTTTATAGGTACAAAAAGTATAGTTAGTACGGATAAGAAGTGATTGCATCACAGTGAATTTCGGATAACTCAAAGGAAAATGGTGCGATTTTCATATCCAAAAAGTATGTCCAAAATAATTAGCACGAATCACAACCTTGTTAATAAGGTTCGCCTACGCTTGTTTTGAAGATAAATTTTGCATATCTAGGTCAACATTATTTAGTTACACAGATGACCTGAAAGATAGGATTTATACTTAAATTTATGTTACTAACAACATCTATCCAAAAAATGACGCAATCGTGATCAGAGAGACTGCAGTACGTGCGTATGACGTGAGGCTGCCTTCTGTGGCAAGTACATTGAGGTTGTGAGCCAATGAAGATTTTTTACGCACACCTGAGAAATGAGCTTTTTGCCACCAATGCTTTTGGTAGAAAGCACTTGATTACGCGGAACACACTAGACAATAAATATTCCAATCAGTATATTTTGATCAGATATAGCTAGATAAAATCGCATTTTGGGAAGTGGCAATCTTCACAAGTTGTAACATATGTTGCAGTCAATATCCCAATGAAATTGACAAAAATAAAACGGAAAAGAAAATATAACTTTTCCCAATGTCTTTTGATTCTCAAAATATTTAGAAGCCGTAAACCTAAAATATTAAAGCACCCAAAAGATCTTAACATTAACATGTGGAAATGACAAACAGCATTGTCTAAAAAAACAGCTAAAGATCAATAGACAAGACTTGGAAGAAACCTATACACTCGCCAAAGTTTCAAATGATCGTATACATTTTCGTTCGAATAAAATCTGCAATGAAAAATATTGTCACAACGCTTTGCTTACGCCAGTTTGACCACGTCCTTAATCGACCAGAGGAATTAACACATATCTCGTTAAAACCTGTGATAGATGGTATAAAAAGCGAAGATGACCGGAATCTGGGCCGACAATCAGGAAAGATTTTGAAGGCGCAGCCTAATGATATGAGCTTAGACGGTCGAAAAAGAAGTGGCTTCATTTATTTTCAGGAAATTTGAATGGTATCGAAGGCTTACCCATAGTCGCCAGTGGAGCAAACCATTAGTAAAAGAAAAACAGCCAATTCTAATGGTCAACAAAATTTTTGAGTAGCAGCCCCAAATTTTAATATTTATCTAATATTCGAATATTTTAAATATACATGGTAAAAAATTATATGAATTTAATGAGAGCTTTAATGAGTTTAAAATATGTTTAGAATAAGTTTTTTAAATATAAACCTTTTCGAATACAGCGACAATTTTAAAATCATCATCCTTACATATAGCCACAACATTTTTCGGCAAACCATTTAGCTTTATCTGCTTAAATACTTTGGATGATTTCGCATCAAATATAGTAAGCTCTGAAAGTCCGTGAAAAGTATATGGCCTTTAAAATATAAACAAAGGCAATTTTCAAGACACAATTACCTCCTTGTGGCGAAGAACTAAAGGAAAAGTGAGAAGTTATCCCAATGTCAAGATCGGCTTCAATCACAACCCAGATCAAAGCGAAAGAATATGAATCCATTGTGGCTATAAATGCCTTAGTAACTATTAAAAGTAAATGAGAATTAGGTGCAGCACACCATTCTGAAGCAACAAGAGTAGAATCGCCTTCATAAATATAAACTGGTCTCGCTTTCCTCTGATGATGAATTACATCCCAAACTGCCAAAACACTGTTACCGCAACTCAACTTAAATGAATTACGAAATGAAATGATAAACAAAAAAAGATTTAAAATTTTTAAGGATTTAAAGCAGAACTTTTTTTCTTAACTTTTTAAAGACCCCTTTTTTCTTTCTTTTTTTCTTTACAAAACCAATATCAGCCCATCAAAAAAAAAAAATAATTCCATTCAAAATTAACTAAAAATTTATCTATAAAACCCATGCAAAAAAATGAGCCCAAATACTGACTTTGTGAATTAATGATATAAAAGAATTGCAAATTTGTGAAGCGCAAATAATTTCTGCTTGCATCCAATGCATTTTTGAACCATGATACCATTTCGCTGGTTCATTATCCATTCTCTTCCAATAAGAAAAGCATCCCTAAAAGAAATCAAAGCAAACAATAATTCTTGCCACATTAAATTACTTTGCTAATATATTTCAGAAAAACAAATCCATCATTTGAACATCATAGAAATTGAATTTTGCATGAGCATCTATTTATTCTGAAAGTCTCACAGAATCCATCATCTTTTTGATATTTTCCTGAAGCAACTATTTAATAAAAACTGGTGTTAAAAGTAAAATTTGGATAATATAATATACTTTTGCATCTGCAATGAAAAATAGATCATCATCTAAACTGCCTCTTATAATAACTATTTGAATGTTTCCACATGTATACGAGTAATCTAATGCAAGCGCACCAATTTCTTCTTTTCGCCGCCAAAACTGAATGCGATTCTAAATGTGAGAAATATTTAAGGGAAAGAAACATAGTTTAAAAATGGCTTAATATATTGAATATATTAAATATTAAAAAAATTATTGAAAAATATTAAATTAAAACTTTGAACTTTAAAAAAAGTATCAAAATAAAGCGATAAGAAATAAAATATAACATTAAAAAGTTAATGAGACAGGGAAATAATAAAAAAGGACTGTACATGAGGAATAGGAAAATTAACAGAACATTCCGCAGTTACTACCATTTTTTTTGATAATGCAATCGCACATACGTCAATAAATCCAAAAGGTTCCGGATATGATGGATTTGAACCATCAATAGGATTTTGCATTGAAATATCAGCCTAAACTTTAAACCACGAGTTGTATAAAAATAAATGTAAAAAAGTATACTGATTGTAGATGCAATGATTATATGAGACATTAAAGTATTTCTCTGACTGCTGACTTTTATAAATGAAAGCCAGAGGAAATGAAAAAAAAATAATGCAAACGCGATTACTTCGATTTCTCTTAACGAAAAATTATTCTAACTGAATAGAAAACATACCACAGCAACTGTTAACAGCGTGGTTGGATCAAACCACTGTATAACTCCAGGTCGTGCGCTATAAACCAAATATTCCGGGAAAAGAGGATCTATTGTTAGCGGAATAAGTGATCCTTGTGGAGAACATAAAATCGTTGGTGCAGAGGATAGAACAGTCATTGTCGATAAGATAACAAAATGAACAGAATTGTCGACAAGAGCGACAGCTAAAATTGACCCATCATTTGAGATGCTTAACTTGGATACTGGTGCTTGCAGTCGAGGCAAAAATAATGCTTTTTCGCCGCTTTTTGTTTTCGATAATTTGTATTTATTGACAACACCTTCACCGCCACCAGTAACCAAAGAGCCAGATGGTGTCAAAACTAAACACGGAGCAGATTTGTGCCAATGTATTGACTGAAAATAGGTTCCGATTTCTTTATTGCGCACAACCTGATCCCTGAATAAGAAAGATAAAAATTTCATCTGTTCTCATAGAACTTGCAATCGAAATTCAACACCAGCTATAAACTATTTTGAGCAATAAACAAAACATAAATTATAAAAAATGAAAAATATGTAAGACTGAACCAATCATTCACGCATAATTTAAAAAAATTTATAAAGCTGAAAGAGAATTATTAATAACAAATAAAGTTCTCTATGAGAAATATATATTGAATATATAATTAACAAACCAAACAAAAACACGTCCAAATGAAAGAGCAGCGGCGACTAGACCATTTTTTGCCACTACATTTACAAATTCTACTAGCGATGGATCCATAAATGTTATTTTGCCAGTGAATTTAAATTTTTGTACTCCACCAGTGTAACAGTACTTAATAATGTACAGGCCATCAGCAACAATTAAATAATCATCCTTAAATATATTTGTTGAAAATAATTTTATCAATATTTTGGACTAAATCAGCCAAAAGTAATGAATTTATTCTTTCCTCGTTTTCTCCTTTAATGTACATTAACCAGACTGTACATTTTATAAATAAAGGCACACTTGTAGGTTCAGTCAAAAAATGAAAAGAGAACATATGAACATATGATAGAGAAGAAAAAGACAAGCGAAGATTATGTTAATATGGATAAAAATTACTGGTGAAACTGGATAATAAGCAGATGGAAGGAAAAATGAAATGGAAAGAAAAGAAAAAGGAATACCAAAAGAATCTAGCCCATGTTGTTCATGCAGTATTTAAGAAAGATAAAAAGCCTGGAAGGAATGTTGAAATGATAAAAAAATAAATTAAACATAGAAAAAAATTTTTTAAAAATTAAAATTATTCAGAAATAAAAATAAGAGTGGGAAAAAATTTACTTATAACTTACAGCTAATGCTACTTGTGAACGTCGAATATTATGTGGAGGAGTCTTCAGTAAAACTTTTACCGAAAAATCATTCAACAAAATTTGTTTTATTTTTAGCTCGTGAAAATCATTTTTGTCCAAAACCTAAAAAATAATCAAAATATTATTTCTTGTAACATTTTAAAACAAATCATAATGAAATAGATTATAAGTAAAAAATCGTTTAGAGAAACTAACGATAACGCTATTATTGCAATGATAACAAGAGAAAAGATTTTTGACATTGAGATCCTTTCTACACAATTCGACACCATAATTGGTATTCCATTCATACCGTAAACCATTAGCTGTGTATGTTATTAGCTAAAAAAAGAGCTGAACATAAGAATTATTACTTCACTCGGTAAATGAGTATATGTGTGAAGTAATATCAATTTCAGCTATATTATTTAAACAAGGTCAAGGTTGATGAAGATGATATCGAACCAGTCTTTTAGATCACAAAAGTAATTCATAAAAGAAATTACTTTTGCGGTATCTTCGAAATAAGTGAATACAACTGATTCGGAATGTCGAAAAATCTGTTGCCGCGATCCTCTTTCGATATCAATACCAATAACATCGCTATGAGACACAATAAAAGCTTTCCTTTAACAATAGTGAAATGAATTTCACGAAGTAGACGTAAATAAAATTTTCATGAAAATTTAGTAATTACCATAAATAACAAATTTTAGTTAAATACAAAATGAACAGGAAATTCGGCAGAAGACGGTTGAATGGCATAGTCGATTCGACCAGCACCATTGATAAAATGAGAGCGAGAAGTTGTTAAATCTATCAAGCTATCAAGTAGTGGTAGCGACACATTTGTATCTATCGCCTAGTCATTACAACTGCATATAGCTAGTAAGTCTAATCAGAAATCTAATATCAGAAACTGTGATCGCTAACCATTTATCCATTTATTCTATTTTACTTAATTAAATATTAAATGAATATTGGATCAAATTGAATATAAAAATTACTTATTATCACTGCTGAATGTTATAGCAATATCTGCCAAATCGAATCCAAAGCTTTTTTGCTGTTCCAACGCATTCCAATCAATATCCAGCTGCATTCCTTTTTTTTTAACATATACAGAAAACGATAAAGATCTCTTCAACTGAAACAACACAAAAAACAAATCGTTAAACTAAACTAATAAAGCATTTTATCCAATAATATAAACAGAAATAAGTATAACCGTTTAATAATAATTACTAACAATAATAAAAATTTAGTAAATAATAATAAATAATAATATATTTAAAGAGCTACCGCTATTGCTGATTAGACTCGTTGCACTGGCTAGTCGAATTAGATCAATTTTTATCAGTCCCTTAGCGATAAGTGAGTAGCCAGGATCAGCCGGATCTTTGAAGGACAAGTTTACTTGAGCTGGGAGTAGAAATATTTAATAATTAACAGTAATAAATAATATAAATAAAATAATTAACAATTATTATTATTAGTGGCAATAATAATAACCATGACCTTTGATAAACTGAATGATTAAAAATATCAAATACAACAATGAATGCTTAAAAAATAAGAAAAGCAAATGTTTTTTCTTTTACTGATTAAAAAATTTGAAAGTTGAAAATTTGAATAAAACTCTTATTTCACTTCATTAGCAGAAACTGAGAAACTGAGTTAGCGTGCGAAACTGAGTTATCTGAAGCAGAGTTTGTACGCTAACTTTTATTACTAATGGGAATGGGAATGGAGGAATACAGATTGATTTGATTTGAACGTAGCTGAATGGTTAAAAGATAGATAAATTGTTTTTCATTTCTATTTGATTACGGGAAGAAGTAAGTCACCATCAGAAATAATTTTTGCCCCCCTCTCCCCCACAATTTTTGGTCTTCATTTAATTAATTATTAATGATATCGTATCATCCAATTCTTTTCCTACACTAAAATTTTAATTATTCCATACTTTAATATGGTTGCCGAGCATTAAATTGTTTTTTTCTTAATTTACTTATATTAAGTCTCAAGAATCAGTACTCCGCGAGCAAGTGGTAGAATAAAAATAGATTATAGATACCAGATTTTTTTGAATTTTTTTCAAAAATTTTTGTTGAATGGTCGTTTCAAAAACTACTCTCGATTTATTTTTGTGAATTTATTTTTCATTTCTCATCACAATTCAGCTGAGTCTTCTTAAACTTTTAATTTTTTTTTACCAAACAACGATTAAAATTAAAATAAAATAAATTAAAATTACAAATAATATATAATATATATTTCATATATATATATGTATATATAGTCATAGACATATATATTTTTTTAAATTTCATTGTCTATTTTATTATTTTCTTCAAGTTTAATTTTTTTTGTCTTTGGCGGGAGTAAACCTGCTATTATGCCCGGGTAGTCGCTGAAGACCCACCTGTAACTCTATTCCCAAATGACTCTGTGGTGAAAGGGTCAGATATATTTGATACGGCGTCCGCGTCTCCCGATGCGCATGATAGTTCGAGCCCGATGGTATGGTGGTGGCATACGATAAGTATAAAATCGTAAAGCGATCCCAAGGCTGGTAAATAAAATGTGGTCTCAAGCTAGGGTAACTGCTCGAAACCTATCAAGGGAAGCAGCCTCCTGCACGCGCGGCGAGGTATTAGCCGTATCATGTATCGTGTGGACATCGCTTGTTTATCAGAAGCCCGTCTTCATTTCGGGTCTCAAGTAATTATAATCCTGGCTCGGAGCAGAGATACTAGCTATATCGCTATGGTGCTTCGAATAATGGAGTAGCGACTGTCATGTCTGACAAGGCCCATTCCGCTTTGATTGAGTGGATACCGATAAAAGACCGTATGGCCTATGCCCGTTTTAAGGGTAAGTTCTGCAATATCTCGGTCATCAGTGCCTATGCTCCAACTCTGTTGGCAGATGATCGTGATAAAGATAAGTTCTATGCGGGAACTTCAACTGCTAACAAAGTCTACCGAAACATGATATGGTTATAACTGGGGGAGATTGGAATGCGCGCGTAAGTCATAATGCCGCTGCAATGCTCTTTACAATTGGCAAATATGGCATCGAAGACCGGTGATTCAATGGGGAATACCTTCTTCGTTATACCGAAGATGAACTTTTTATTACTAACATTTGCTTCCGGTATCGAAGAAAACATCTAATCACATGAAACTCCCCGGATAACCAACACTTCAACCAGATTGATTATACCTTAGTCAGTCACCGTTGACGAGTTCCGTACTAGATAGGCGTCTCTACCGCGGCGCTGAAACGGGCGATCTTCATGGATCTGACCATGTTATGGTTCGAGCCAAGATCCGCATAAAATTGACAACTCACAGAAAACAGCATCTCCCAAGATCCTTCAACTAAAAAATTAGGGGACAGTGAGTGCATTTCAAACCGAATTATTGAAGCATCTCAATGATACAAATATCAATGATTTTTCTGGAACTGCAAATGAATATTGGTCCAAACTAAAGGAATGTCCGAAAATCAGCCACTTCCACGCTAGAGCATACCAGTAGGAAGTGTGCTAGTTGGGTATCGGAAGCAGCTGTCCAATTGTTTGAAAAAGCTGCCAAAGCAAGAATGTCAGGTGATCCTGATTACCGGGTGCTTCGAAAATTTGCAACAGACGCAGCAAGGCGGGATAGAAATCACTATTGGAGTGACATGACCTCAAGAATGGAGGCGGCGACTCGATTAGGCGACAATGGCTATTTGGGATAGAATGACTCAGTGGGTTGTTGCTCAGTTGGGAGCGTCGATGCTGAGGTTCGATTCTCCGCAGGAGTAAGCCTGTACAAAAATCCGGGTGATGCTGGCGACCTGTATTTCTGTCGCCAAGGGATTCCTGGCACATTGTCCCCAATGCGACAAGCCAGTCGAGCGGGTTTAACCAGTAATGGTGGATACTCCCTAAAAAAAAAATTACAATGCGACAAGAAAAAGCATTAAGTGTCGAATTATTTCACATCGTAACCATTAAAAGCCTTATTTAGACCAATCTTACCAATTATAAATTATTGATAAAAACTGTCGCACAAATAAATAAATAACTTTCTAAGCAATAAAAAATTTTCGAAGCAGAAGCTTTTCATAAGTCGGAATATTCCGAAAAGCACCATCGACCACGGCCCCCTTCCCCTCCTCCTTTTTTACAGATAGGAATGATTGCGAAGCAACTGCCAACTTTCAAATTTCTATCGAGTTCTTGTATCCTCTTTAAGAGAAAGTAAAAGATAAGATTTAATTGCAGCTCAAAACCCGATTCGTCAGTACACCACCGCGATGATCAGTTTTAAAAGCTTAATTGCAGCTAAAAATCATAAGCAGAAATAAAAATTTATCTAAGTCTGGGTCTAATGGCGTGGCTACGGAATAAATTTCACTGGATTCTGCTACCAAATCATCTTTTGAGAGAATTTATTAATCGTTGAGAGGATGAAACAATTTATTTTGTGAGGACTTTTGGACAGCACGCTGCACAACTGGAAAGGCGACTGAATTTTCGGCACCCATATGATAAATAATTTCATCTTCAGTTTGGGCCAACGGTGATAAGGTTTTCGCTGCGGCAATAATTTTGAACCGAGGAGCAACGGGATCTCATGCACAAAACGCGGCAGAAATATATTTAACCATCTTAGGTTAATCTCAGGCTTAGCCATCTTTCTTCACCAAATAAGGAGGTGCTAAGCTTGAATTTAAATTGCCTATATAACCATTCCTTGCATCCTTGCATTGTTTCTTTTTGACATTTACCTGCTTTTCTGAACCTATCTTTCTATTAATGAAGGAGGAACTACGCCAATTATTATTTTCTTCGACACTTTCGGCTGCCCTAGTATTTTAACAGAGCCAAGGCGGGAGGCCAAATACGGATTCGAAGCCGAACACCCTTTCGTATAGCCATAGTGGAAAGACTACGATGCTATATAATACTGCGCTAAAATTGGAGAATGTAAGACAATTAAGTAAATTTGGCAGGTGTGAAGGAGAACATAAATATAAAAAGTTTTGAGATATCAATGGACGTAACAAGGTTTGACAATTCAGCCTGTTTATAGGACATGTATTTTTATGGGCTGTTAATGATAATAAGCCAAGTCAATCTGCTCAGCTTTTTTCTAAGGGCGCTAACCATTTCCGGCCGGTCTCACCCCATTGCCTTGTCGGACCAGACAAATTTTGCTATGGAATCACTTAACGATAGAAGATAGGTGGTTCGCCATTAGATTTTTTTGAAAGATTAACTCCTACACTGAAGAGACCCACGCCATTAGATGTTGCTTGGAAATATAATGGAGTGGTTGCTTAGAGTTCATGGTTTTGTCCTCCTTCCTCTGATCCTTTTCCCTCAAAAGTAGGAAAATTCATTAATACAAGTAGAAATATCACTTAATTTAAGCGATTCTCAAATGATGTATTTTTATAAACTACTTTTCCCAGCTGATTTCAAAGAATTATCGCTTAATTCTTAATTCTTCATAATAAAAATCGTCAGGTGGCACATCATATGTTGGTTCATCGCCATCGTTACCGAATGAGTAAAGTAACTGAGATGGTGCTGAACTTATCGAAGGGCGTCTATCAATTGGCATTCAAATGCTTTGAATTTGTCACTGGAATTACTGATATATCGGTGAATAAAGTTGACGATTCTTCGGTAAAATTGCCAAATTTATTGGTATTGCTCGAAACAATTCAGAGTTTGGAAGGGTTGCCACTGCATAATAAATCATTGAAATATTCCGGGCTCCGTTCTGGATCTCATTTGCTCTTTGTTTATTTGCATAAATATTTGGTGAATTTCGTTTCGAAGCAAATGGTAACGGTGAATGCAGATTTATACGTCGCAGTCGAATGTAAATATTTATTAATAAAGTTACACCGATTGTTATACCACAGATTATTATAAGCCATACTTGTTTCGACGATTCAATTTCTTCCAAAATTTTTCGAATCTGAATTTCATTTTGAAATTTTGAGTTAAAACTAGAAATTATGTTAAAATACAATATCCTCTCCGGATTCTCTCGCAATATCTAATTTATTTCCACTGAAGAAAATGATTCGTACCTCTTAAATATTTTTTTCAGTTATGTGGCCTGTAATAAAATATTTGGTTGTTTATAAATATAGGGTCTGTATTTTTCACATAATTATCAACAGGACATTAGATAATTAACATAATCAAAATACAACGCTTATAATTCATCCTACTTGATTTAAACACTAATTAATTAATCATCTGTTTATGTTGATCATTAATCATGTGTTTTGATGGAACATTTTGGTGAACGAAGTGAACATGGCCAACTGATAGCAGTAAGCATTCCATTAAAATCGATGTTCCGATTGTTCTTTGGACTCATTGACCCTTTTCAAGTATATTCTCAAATAATTGTTATTAATAATATCTAAACATCTCACTGTAATTGTCAATGGAACCAGCTAAACCAGAATAGAGAGCAATCAAAAAGAATTTGAAGTATTTAATTGTACAAATGTATAATTTGAAGCATTTAAGTATATAAATTTAATAAATTTTTTGGGATCTTTTTTATTACCCTAAAGAAAGATAAAATGATATAACTGTTTTCGAGCAGAACATCGTTTTGAATGGTTCGAAACCATTTAGATGCACCGATCTTATTTAAATAAGATTTAATAATCATAAATTTTAAAGACTTCACCTTCACAAGGGTAAGAAGGGTAGAAGACCACATTCCATTTGCACACCAAGTACGGTACGCACTTGAAGTCTTACTAATCCGCATCCTTCTTTACATTGATATTTGACAGTAGATTGATAACTCGCTGATTTATAATAAAAAATAATTTCTCGATATGGCCAAAAATTCAAAGGATCATAGTTAATAGCTAAGAAATGCGCTTCCCAACCATAACTTTATATATAAGAAAAATCCTGTTTTCGGAAAAATTGTGGTTTCAGTAAAAAATGCATAACTGAAGAACTCTCTATACCATGCTTGTATAACTTGTTCAGTGAAAAGGATCATTGTGACTGAAAATAATGATGGGCGGATATTGGAAAGACAAAAAATGTCTGCGTAAAATGTCTGCATTTGAACGACAAAATCAGAATGAGTGCTATATTATATTATAACCCTTTTCATACTTCTTGTATTAATTTGAAGGCAGTAGTTATGTGGTTGTCGCTCAGAAGTACAGGTATATCGCCAACGTTTTTAACAGGAAAACCTGTCACTAAGAAATTTTGGCGTTAACGATCCACTTTCATTTTATATGTGGTTCCCTAGCGAAAATTTCTTAACGCATTTATACTGTTTACTGCCAATAGTAAACCACGCGCAACAGTGAAACGAATCTAACCTGAAATTATAAACGCCAACCATCGTTTTCAGCCGGCGTCAATTTAAATAGGAAACCAACATTTATATCGCAAAACTATACATATACACCTTATAATTTCCAAAATTAAACAAGATTTTTCGATAATTTTAATTTTCAAAGAAATCTTCGTGAGCCAAGCACAGAGGTTCGCATTTCTGCTGATCTATCCTTTTGTAATGGCCATGACATATTCCACTTTCCATTTACAGTTGTATGAATCAAGAACACATACACGTAATTTTTTTGACCATAGTGTATTAGATATACAACTTCTTTCATCTTGAATCAGAAAACCTTCGTATAAATAATGAGTAATAACAATCAGTACCAATCGAATACTTGAAATTTGAACGCAACTAATCCATAATTCGATATTCCAGGTCCCGTAATATTTAAAGTGAAATTAAGAAGTGGAAAACTAGTGAAGAGATCATTTGAGAAAAGAAGAAAAAAAAAGAACATCACTTTAGAATTGGAAAAATTGGAAGAAACCATCCAGTGCCATGAAAACTTTTAGCATATACTGCAAAACTGATTCACTTGCAACGGTCATAAAAGATTCCCAGTCCTAAACTTTGCATAAAATCGAACGCAGCAGATTATAAATAATCCTCTCTGATTGCCTTCAGTAATTTCATATCACCTCTGTAAAAAATAAAATAACAAATTTGATGGCAGGGTAAAAAAATAATAAATGTGGAAGCAGTGGAATAATGCACGCCTGCCACTAGATAATATTTTAGAAAACAACTGATCCGGTCGCTTTAACAGGGTAGTCATGGTAGTCACCGCACGTATCAATATAAATTTTATTCTCCACTTTGAACTTATATTTGGGTAATTAAACCGCCAATAATATGTCGATGGGAAAAATAATATTCGACGCAAAACAAAATTAAAGACTGAAAAGAAAAGTATCACAAAAACAAATAATAAATGGATATATAAAAGATTTTAAACAATAAAAAAAAGTCAAATATTCAGATATTGGGACCCAACCGCTTAGGGTCTCTTGATGGCTCCAACAATAAGCGAGAAAAAAACAATTTTCTTCTTAAGAAGTGCAATTTGCAAATATATAAGAGGAAATTGACCTTAATAGTTTACTGTAAAGGGAATTAGCAAAGAATTAATTAAGTTAATGAAAGTTCATTTTGGCGGATCGGAGTCATTGGTTCGAAATAATAAATTTAGAAAAAACATCGTATTTTGCGACAATTTCATGTAGTTACTAAATCTTTTCTTATTACTTGCTACCGTTTAATGAATTGAATTTAATGAATTCATTTATTAAAAACCTTTAAATCTCTCTCTAGAATTCGACCGTCAAGCAATCTCCACTCCAATCCATCATTCATTAATCCCATTTAACAAAACGACAATGGATTCGATAAAAGAAATAGTGCAGATATGAAAATTAATGGATGAATTTAAGTCTATTATAATTCATCATCTTCAAAATAAAAATTTTTAATATTATTTATTGGAATCAAATAAAAAAGATTCATTAATGATAATCTAGGCAATATACATTTGGCCGAATAATCTCTGGTTTATTTGTTCATTTTTTTATCGAAACAAAAAGTACCGTACGAGAAGATTCGTCCATTTTGAAAATCTAAAGGAAGTGATCCTCCCCATTAAATGCAATCCAGCTGTGCACCGAACATTTCCAACGAGAAAATTAATACCATCAAATTGAAAGGGCAAAAAATTGGCTAAAATTGAAAAAGTAAGAAATGAAAATAGCAAAACAAATTTTTCCAAATTTCTGAAAAATAGAATGAAAATTTTCGATTTTGGGCTTATGAATTCACATTCCATTCCTGATAAATGAGTCACTAAAATCAGAAATAATGAATGCTATTTGAAAAAAAAAGAAATAAAACGAAAAAAGATTAGAATATTCCTTCCCTTCCATTCCTTTTCATTGATTTCTGAAAATGCCAAATGAATCTTAAAAAGTTTACTTCTAACAACATTCATAATTTCCAGTTTTATTGCTCTAAGCTAATATTAACCGTACAGCCAGATAGTTATTCGGAGATAAAAGTTTATTACATATTCAGCTGTATTCACATGCCTGGTACTTCCAGATACATGCAGCATTTTTAAAAGCGAAGTTTACTCTAGCCGAAGGACGAACTGAACCCACTGTGCATAAATTCAAAGTAACACCATTGCTACTCCTACTCTCCTTAAGTTTTATATTATTCACCAAATAGTAAACAAACTTCATGATCTACCAAAAGCTTGAGTAAAAGCTTGAGTCCAGTGCTGCATAGATTTCTATCAAGCATTGGAGTTTCAAGCAGTGGAGTTCTCTAGTTCTAATAACAGTAAACTACTCTTGATAGGACCTGTACTTATCCACCTATGGCCAAATGATTCCCTGTTAAAAATTTCCAATCGTACTAACAGGCAGTGGAACTAATCTTACTTGAAATGACTCACGCTAACCACTAATTTTTCTTCTTCTTACATTTATTGCCATCACTGGATAGGCTGACTCCATTAGATAAGCTGGCAAAGATAAGACGCTTCCAATCGGCGCGGTCTGATGCCATCGTCGACAGTACTACAAGCCATGCCTTTTTCCATCGTCTGTAGTTCATAAATTGCTGGTCCACCTATACGTTTAAAATCTTTTCTGACCGTATTAATGTTGCAATTTTATAAAATGAATGACGAAATTAGGAAAAACACCGGAGAAAACTTCCGCCTCAACGAAAATCGAATTGTAAAATGAGAATGGTCGAGTGTTGCTTCAAATGAGCCCAACCACCACTGACTGGTTCATTGAAACGAACCGTTCGTTAAAAAAAAAAATACGGGTAGTTTTAGACACCAAACCATACTTCTATTATATAACTGTGAAGAATTATCTATGTCTGCATAAATGAACAAAACTTAAGTCCTCAGAATGTACAAATTACGCAAATTTAATTTATTCGCATTTATTTTATTAAAAAATACAAAATTATGCCAATGATTTAAACATTTTAAGCATTTTACTCAACGCATACAATGATGATCGAGTGATACCAGCTGTAAGAAAATTTTTTACCGTTTGACGTATTGCTGAAGGCGCAACAATGGATGAAATTGCGTCATCAATGTGGTGAGCGACATCCAGACGTCTTGCAAGCGAAAAAGTTACTTCTTCTATAAAACTATTTTCATTGTGAAAGTAGAATTAAAAAGTAGAATTGAATTAAAGAAAAGTAATAAAAAGAAACAAAAATCAGCTCGAAAAATATAAATATCGAAGAAATCAAAAAAAAAGCTTAAAAATTGAATTAACAATAAAAATGAATCAAGAAATACCAATATCACGCTGTTTCGAATCCCGTTGATTCCAAACTTTTTGAAGCCTTTCAAGAATAGCGCATGGAAGTAACTGAATTCGATGATAAACTGCCGCCATATTTGTGTCCTTTATTAATTCAAAAACTTATTAACAACAATAAAAATAGCAGATAAAATAATAATAATGATGACAATGATAATAACAATAATAGTAAATATAATCAATAAACAAATAAATAAAAATATCGAGTAACTCGAATTTTCAATTGATTTGAATTGTTACAATCATTAAATATTTACCTGACAGAAATTAAGCATTAACACCAAATACCAAAATTATTAGACAATTAATATATTATATATTAAGTAGTACTAAATAATAAAACAGTAAAAATGATAACTATTATATTAAATAAACAAATATACTAAACAAAATTATTAAAATCGGATATTTTAATGTATATTTCACAAGATTTAGTTACTAAAGAAAAAATGAGGGTCATATGAAGGAGGATGTGTGAATGAAAGGTTTAAATTAATAAAGGATAAAAAAGGAAAATAAAATGACTCGAGAAGGGTATGCAAGGATGACTGCAGATTTCTTTAAAGTTAAAAAAGTAGATGAAAAGAAAAAAGGAAAGAGCAAAGAAAGGATAGCAGGTGCCAATGAACAGATAAGATGGAAAAAAGTTGTTTGTTAAAAACTGATAAGAAAGGAAATTACCTGATCAATACGAGATGTTCGCGTAATTGTTAAACGTGTATCGTTCTCTAATATGGGCATAAAAATTTCAGCTAATTTTTGAGAACTTCCATCAACGATCTTTTTGATTTTATTCTTATCTTCACCAAATAACATGCGAAAATCACCATTATATGATAATGAAACCACCATTGTCAAAAATTGCTCAAGGGTAAAAGTTCCAGGAAGTAATAATAAAGCAATCTAAACACTAAACTATATTAAAAAGTCTGTTATATTCACTCCCATTCAATATATATCAAGAAATAGTGCTTCTGGCCTTTCTGGATAACGACAATAGAATTGTATAGGCTATTACTTTTAATAAATTCTTATATCTTATCTTTACCTCTCCCCATTATTTCTAATAATTTGTTTTTGTAATTCTCTCTCACTGACAGTAATTTTTTCACCAGTAATTCGCAATAATATTGTGTTTATCCATTCCCATTCACAATCGTACATTTTCTTTCATTTCTGAATCCTTATTGATGAAAGTTGCTTTAGACCAGATTACCGAAAAGTGCCATCAAATTGAAAATGCGAATTATAAAAATCTTTTTAAAATAGGGGAAAATTCTGCCACGAAACTAGCAGCTAAAAAATGTTTTATTTTACCTCAACCCGAAGAAATTTCAAGGTTCGCTACTTACCTCTCGCATGACTAAATCATTTAAGCAATGCAAGGAACTCAACTACTACATTTCTACCGTAGATAATGAAGGCTAATCATAAGTGACAAGTACTAAATAATATTCTACAGCCGAAAAATATATAAAATATAAAATATAAAAATATATAAAAAATAAATAAGGAAGGAAAATTAAAACCTGGACGCAAATAAAAAAATAAAAAGTTCTGATACTTTTGTCTCAATGCAAATTTACAATTATAATAAATAAATAAATTATTAATTAGCTTATCTGTGCAGCGCTAATACGATTTTCATGAATGGCAGCAGCAAGAGTCTTTGGTGGTGGTACTATATCAACGACAACTTTATGAAGTCTCCCAGCGAGATAAAGCCAACGCCAATCCAATAAATCACGCTCCAAATCTTCATATTCAACTACTCCATACTTTAATAATCGTCCCTAAATTGTTGCAAGTGCTTATGAGTATTTTAAATAGAACCATGGACTTCGAACTTACCGGTGTCAGATTCACAAATATTTCACTCCTGTTATAACAAGTATCAATTAAGGTGGGCTGGATCGATGAAGTGGTCAAGAATTATGCGTTTGATTCCTATCTACCGATAATAGTAACACTATCACTTAAACTAAAAGTGAAACCCAAGCAACGCTTGGGGCTCGCCTTCCATCCTTAAGTATTTTTCCAGTGGTCTTACCCCAGTCACCAAAGCCAAACAAAAACTAATTACATTTAAGTAATCGAGTCAAAGTTACGACAATTAATAACAAAGAATTTTAAGCAACAAAACGAACTTTATAGCTTATATGAGTATTATAGAATACTCGGGCAGCGAAATTACGTTGCAATTTTGTAAGTGTATTGGCACCAAAGTACCGCAATGCCGAATAATGACAAGGATTTCGTTGCAAATTCTCTTCGTGAAATTTTAACGAATTATTTGATACAATAATAAAGTCAACCATTTTTACATCGGATTTTTCACCAAGTTGACTAACTGCACCCGATCCATATGCAAACGCATAACCGACTGTATCCTGTGGAATACACTCCAACAGTTGCCTTAGTTCATCGACATTCACCATATCATTTTATTCCTTTTGGCTCTTCTAATAATTCGCATATCCTAGAAAAAATGATATCCACCCCACGTTAAATCCATGCGAACTAATTCACAAATAGAATTATAAAATATCAAGTTCCACGATTGCCACTATCACAAACGCATCTTGCGATATTTATTCATAGTACCTCATTATAATACTGATTTTTGATATTCACGAGCTTCATCTCTTCACATGCCATCAACACCATTAAAATGAATTTACTTAAACAATCGAATAAGCAGCGCCCGTCAAAAAAAATTTAATGGCTATATCGCTCTAAGTTGGAAATGCAAATATATATTTAAATGATAAATTTATTTTAAAAATATTTGCAGAAAAATGTTCTAATAATAGATGGGAAATTTAACATATATTTTAGTCACAAAAATCAATTGTTAAAATTGCTAAACGCTATGACGATCAGAATGTTTTATGTAAAAAACAAAAAAGAATAGTAGAAACAAAAAAATAACTGAATTTGAATTCCACAGTTTAAATCAAGAAAAATTTGAATAAATCGCTCTAAACAACCTTGTAAAATTCACTTCGGAAAAAAAGCAAGTTTCTTTCTAAAATTATACTTTCAAATAAAGAAAAAATATAAACATTATTCAACTATTTAATATTGTAAATCATTGAGAAATTTTTTTCGGGATCGATGCTTGAAGGACAATGTTCCGGATGTAAAGGAGTAAAGCCAATATACTTATAGCAAATCGCCCACTGAAATCAAAAAATTAGTTGAAATTTTCGAATGAAAAAAGAGATTAAAATTCAAAAATACGCCCAAAAAAACATTTCAAAAGAAAATATTTCATAATATAATAGATGAAATGCGCATTTTTTAAAAAAAATAATGTCATGCGAAAGGCGGAAGGCACCAAAACGAGTTATATGCGTTTAAAATAATAATTAAAAATGCTTCCACTGATGACTGATAATAAAGTGCTAATTATTCTCATCATTTTTAAATAGAAAATATAAGCAAAGTAGCTTGCCACATTTCCTTTTTTTTCTTTTTCATTATTTTATATGCTTCCTTTTTTGTTCTATCTTACTTATCATATTGCCTAATAAAGAAAACATAAGCAACTAATACTTCTTTGGTTAATTTTCCCTTATCAATCGATATAATAACACGCTTCACTAGCAATTCGTCTTCACAAAATTCAAGGAGAGAAACGAAAGCAACTTTGGAAATCGTTAAAACTGGCTGACTAGCAGGCAAAATTAAAACCAAGGTTTCGCGATCCGTCAAGTCATAGCCCCACTCAGGCGATACACCTATAAGAAAACAATCTTTAATATGAAATAATGATCAGTTTATCAGTCAAAAACCCGCAGCTATCGTTATCGAAATACACTTCAACAATAATCTATTCAAAAACGGTTAAAATACAGTAAAATATAGCAGTATGAGAAAATTTCCACAAATAATAATAATATGGAAAAAATCTTCAAACCTTTAATTAATCCTTCAAGCGTAGTAACTTTTTCTTGATTGTAAAATAATTCATTAGGGTCGTCAGGAGCAACACCCGAGGCCAGACAGCCCTCGACTACAACTATAACAACCATGAATGAAAAATTGAAAACATGAAAATTTTGCAAAAATATAATGTTATCTGTCACCGTCAATAATTTTTTTTTTCAGTAAATCAAGCAATCTTCCGATAAGAAATAAAATGAAGCTACCAATAAGCCATTCAAAACAAATAGAAACATATATAAGCCCCCTACTTCTATAAACGAAAAATGATAATCCTCATCTCGCAGTACTTCGCAAATGATATAGGAAGCACGACAAACGGCTATTTCTCAGATCAATGTCTTCAAAGTCAATGGTTCATTTCTTACAGAAATAAAAAATTCCTGCAGCGCTCCCAATCAGACTATTCTTCAATCGCCAAATGACTCCTAACAAAAATCTCACTAACAGCCAATGGAACAAGCTTAGCCAGAAATGGTGTGCGCTGATCAAATTTTAAATCACGTATAAAATTATACACATATGCAAATGTCGAACAGTGAAGCGATTAAGAGGAAAGAGGACGCGAATACGGAATTTAACAATGATTCGAATCGCAGCCAACTCTTTCATTTTCTAGGCGAGGGTTCCTGGACAAGACCGTCTAAAAAGTCATACAGGACCAGAGGTTGAAGGTGACTGATACCATTCCCAAGGGATAGGAAGAGGATTTTTAATGTTATATCGTTGTAATTATATCGTTTTATGAACAGTCGCTCTTCCATGTGCTCCACTAAGATTTAAAAAAATTATTATTGCTAATTATTAAGAAAATAATATTAATTATTGATTATTACAAATTTTCGTTTGGACATCTCAAACGATAAATTTTTTTCTTTTATTTCAATCTTAATTTTAATTCGTCAATTTCTAATTCCTTAATTTTTTCGCTTTACCCTCGTCTTCGACAGGAGTAAACCTGTCATATCAAAAATCGAGGAACTACTAAAGACCCACTCGTAATTCTATCCCAAAGTGATGAAAGTGGTGAAAGAGCCAGTCCTCCGGATGCGCACTTCCGATCCTGTGGTACATGCAACAGGCATAAAATCCGAGCGTGAAACGATTCGCAATTTGTAAATAAAATGCAGTACGACTACTTAAAACCTCCCAAGATGAACGGCTCTCTATGCAAGTGATGTCGTAGCAGCTTGCGGACGCTAAAAGCCAAGCGATCACTGTCCACACTCTTTCTAAATATTACGTGGATATCTCCTGCCTGCCGAAGGTCATATAATTCCGAGGCACTGCCTATGTCACTATGGTGTTTCAGGTTGAAAAATTACAAAAAACAACATCCTAAGCATCTTGCAAGATATTTCAACTATACCAAACTGCAAAAATCCGGAAACAGTGAGCGCATTTCGAACCGAATTATCGAAGTATCTTAATGATGCAAATATCAATGACTTTTCTGGAACGCAGCCGCTTCTATGCTAGGCTATACTAGTAGGAAGTCCGGTGGTTGGGTATGGGGAGCAACTGTCCAAATAATTGTCTGAAAACACTGCCAATGCACGAATATCAGGTGATCCTGACCATCGGATGCTTGGAAGAATCGCAACAACAGCAACGTTGAAGAAATATTATTATTGGAGCGATATGACCTTGAGAATGGAGATGGCGACTCGATTAGGCGATAATAAAAAACTATTCCGCCTTTTTTATAAAAAATTAAATTCGGGGAACGATCAGTGAAATGGTAAGGTATAGCAAATGCATACTCGTTAAGGATATTAAAGATCGCCTCATAAGATGGAAAGAACCCTTTGAGGCCAAACATAACCACGCTGTGCCATCTGTTGACCATGGCTGATACCTTCGTTGAACGAAAGTCTCGTTTTATATACAATAAGCCCCTTATTATAAATTCATTGCCCAATTTTAGATACCTTGGATCGAATTAACTCTAATACCAAATGGCCAAAAGATGGTATTACAGCCCGGATCACGGCAGCTAGAAGTGCGTTCTCCGACTGGTAAAATTTTTTATGAAGTCGTCGTGAAATCACCATAAGAACGAAAATCTGTATCTATATAGCCGTGATTCGTTCGATCTTCCTATATGGCTGAGACATGGCCAGTGAGAGTGGAGAATATTAAGACGTTACCTACATTTGACCACTCATGTCTAAGGAGCATTATACCGATTCGCCGAGTGGATAAAATCTCATATAAATGCATCTACCTTCGTTCAAATATCACTTGCATCAACATTACTATCACACATGTCGCCGTTGCTGATTAAAGCATCGCCCACCATAAGGGCTGACATATTTCGTTACTCCCTAAACCCCGTAATGAGTGGCGTTAAAAGCGAGGTGGGCCAATTAAGACCTTGACTTATGCAGTCAAAAAAAATATTTGAATATCTAGGTGGACAAGCAATATATGTACGCAGAAGATGCAAGAAGGAATGGCTTCTGATATTGTCGATGATGGCATTAGGTCTCGCAGCTTGGAAGCGTCTTGTCCAGCGTAGCCAGTGGAGCCAGTTCATCCAGTAATGTATGAAGACTCAAGCAATTTGGAACAGAGCCAAGAAATTTCATAGCCGATGTTTCTACAGAATTTATTAGCAAAATGAAATTTCCTAAGATTATAGCCATATTTTCTAGTTTCGCATACATTCAAATCTTTAAGCCGATTTCCCTTATTGAAAGAGCTCTCTCCACACGTTCTCTTATGGTGGATTACAAGTAAAATGTCTCTACAAAACCAATTATCCTGAAATGCTTCTTTGACGAACATTGCATGTTAACATCCATTAATACTATTCAAACGAGAAAACGACAAATTCACGCCGCCCCGAGATTATACAACTCAGTCGCATGATTAGCAATGACTGCACCAATTGAAGAAAATGCATGCCTCTAAAATTATTTCAAGAAAATATTCATCAAAATGAAATAAAGCCACACCTTAACACATCCCGCTCGTTGCTACTAAACATTTTCACTGTCATCTTTCACGAAAATTGGCAACACAAGACGAATTTCACAACCAGTTCGCGTCAGCAACTACTCTACGACTGATTCGCTCACTCATTTTATATATTATCTTTTTCGTCTATCCAATGCTGTCTTGCTTTCTTTTTGTCTTTAAACTCTCTCAAATTTCACATTGTCTTCAAAAGCTTATTGTCTAAGGTCCCTCATGTTTCTTTGCGAACAGATTCACCACTGTGCCTCTAAAGTCTCTTTTTCTATGCACTCTTTTTTCGCAACTCTTTTTATATGCTCTTTTCACTTTGTCGCCTTAACCCTCCTCGTTAAATTATGATCGATACAAATCGATAGATAAATCGGAAAAATTAATAGATTTACCGTATCTAAATTTGGCAGCGAGCCAAATTTAGGAATTGTAAAATTCGACCAAAATTAATGGTCGGTAAGTTCGTACGAGGTCCGATCGGCTTTATAAAACAATTTCGAATGAGTTCGTGTTTTGTGTTCTTCTTGTCAAAGGTCGGAGGTCAGGGGTGTCGGGTCATGGGGCGAGGGTGACCTCTCGTGGCTGTCGGAGGGAAATGCCAGAAGAATCACTCCTATTTATAAATTATTTTGGAAAAGAGCTTTTCGTCATATTTATCTTTATTAAGCGAATGAGTTGGTCTCTACTAATTTTAGTCATTTCGAATTCATAAATTTGCTTTTGACTGAGTTGATTTACCGCAATTTTTATTTCTAATTTTATTCTCTATTCTAATTTTTCCACTTTTTAACTTTGAAAATTTTTCTTAAGTTAAATTTTTTATTTGCAAATTTAATTTTATTTATTTATTTTCCATTCAATTTTTCGAAATTTAAAGTTTTACATTGAAAATAATTTTTGTCTTCCATTTTCTTTATTTTTAATTTTATTTATTTATTTGATTTTTATTTTTTTTCAATTTTTTGGCAGAAAGAAAATTTCTTTTGGTTTATTTTATATGTATAATATTTATTATATTTTAGTAGCTTTTTTCGTATCGAGTTCTCTGAATAAATCACTTGATTTGTTATTCTAGCAACTCGCATCGTTACTAGTTGAAGTGGCTGAATTTGCCATAAGTTTGAGGCGTTTCCAGGTCGCTCCATGTAACACTTTCTTTTTCGATTCCATCTCAAGTAAATTATTTCTTTTATAGGTGAAAAGAATTTCATCTTTTATTAAAAAGGAAAGGTCGGAAAGAGGGAAAATTGAACGCCTTAATTGGCGTGTTTACTGTTGAAAAGTAATATGCGTATGTCGCCAAATTTTTCAAATATTTTTAATCCCACTGAGGTTAATTCTTTTTTATTTTTTATTTATATGTTTTTTGGTTAAATTTTTGTATTCATTTATAAAAAATGTTGGACTGTTAAATTTTTTATTTTTTATATTAATTTATGTGTCTACGAGTATTTATAATTTCTTTATTATTCGTATACTACATTTATTCGTATTAAAATTTATATTATTTTCAAAATCGATGATTAATTTTATCGATGATATTAAAGCATGATCAGTTGATACGTTAACTAAGGCTAAGCATCATGCATTTGATTGCTGTCATCTTTTGAAAGCATTCACTAAATGAAATCTAGGTGTACTCGCGGCATCGATATCTATCCACAGGTGTCCATGTGGCAAAAGAGTATCACCATAGTTGTCAGTGGAGCGAGATAAATAGTGAATGGTATTAGAAAAAGGAGATATGACTGTTGTTCTTGGGTTTTTTTCGACAGTAATATCGAAAACCATGTAGTTTTCTAAAAAATTCTTTTTTTTAGTAGCTTACAAATGGTAAAATTAAATAGGTCAGTGTAATATTTGATGAAATTCAGCTGAAAATAATTATTATCAATTTTTTCGAAATGAAATAAGTAATCCATTCATATTTTCTAAATTTTATTGTATTTTATGGGAATAAATCTTATAGAAATAATCATAAATCTTTTTAAAATATTTTGAGTATATTCTATTTTATAATATTGTCTATCACGTTTTTGAATCTTCACACAATCTGTTTTTTAAGTTTCAGCACTAATCCATTTTATATATTTTATATTCGCATTCTTCATTAAACTAGATGCTAAGTTTTCAAACAATTATATACTAATTTCAAGTAATTACCAATTTTTTTAAGTTCATAATTATGAATTGCTGGTATTTTATTTATGTTTATCTCTAGATTCCATGATAAATTTCGACTAAATTTTGTTTCAAATACATGAGAATATTTAATTACTTTTTGGCGATTGCAATGTTTTGATAAAAATTTTATATATAAAAATGACATAATAAAAATTCTTTGAAAAATTCTATTGGAAGTAAAAAATTCGCCGAAATTTATATTTTCATAAAATTTAAATTTCAGGAAGTAATTTTATATTATCTCGAATTTTTTGCAATTGATGATGCCATACTATTAGCTGAACTTTATAATGATACTGGTTAGTTTTTATCTTTTATTTTTTAAGTAAAGCTGAGAATATTTTGACTCGCTAGCTAACTAAAATAAATTATTTTAAGACTCATAAAACTTTGAATTCTATCTTATGGAACTTTTCTTAAAAAATGTCCTTTAAAAATCTTAGTTGTTTGTATTTTGTTTCTTAATTTTTCGATACATTTTATATTTATTCTTTTGTTTATTTATTTATTTTTTTTTCATTTTTGCGTTATTTTTATCTAAATTTTGTTTTTATTTTATTTTTATTTTATTTATTTTTATTATTTATTCTTTTTTATTTCGTTATGATTATGGGTGTGGCTTTGTTTGAAAGCCACTCTTGAACGAAACTCGGAACATTCAGAAATATATCAACAAGACAGCACCGAAAGATGAGCTGAGAGAACGTCTGAAACATGTACAGATATTGGAACACGATCAAGCAGAGCAAATACCATGGTAAAGCAAGGTCCTCCATGGATTGCACCATCAATTGAGGTAGCTGACTGGGAAATCTTACCATTGGTTGAAAAAAGCTCGACTGAAGCAACACTCGACTGAGGCATTGATTTTACCAGTACAAAAGTAGGTATTAAGCACCAGACCATTGAAACAGGAATTTATTACACTATAGGATTGGCACGGATTGTGCATAAACGTTCCAGAAACAATCCAGCATGTAGTAACAGGATGTAAAATGTAAACTGAAAGGTATAACCAAGTAGCTGACATCGTCTACAGGAATATCTGCTCCGTATTAGCTTAGATCTTCCCATAACTAGGTGAGAGTTTCATTAGAAAGTCGCACGAGAAGGCGAAGATTCTTTTGGACTTACCCATCCAAACAAATGGCCAATCAACCAGACATCTTAATAGTAGGCAAGAATCAGAAATCAGCACTAATAATAGCAATACCAATTGGTCGGTAGTTGGACGGTGAGGATGATCATTTTCACTCACAGAGGATGATAAAAGATTTTTTTTTGCAAAGTTAATACCAGTAAATTGAACTGATATTCACTGGATAAAATTGTACATAACTTCTGTCCAAAAACAAACATACTCCAACTCCGAAAAATGCAACTGAAATTTTGGCTTCTTGCTGTTAAGCGTGTGGTACTCAATATCTTCTAATAATTTGTTAGTTCTCTCAAACTCCATCATATCCCAACATCCTCCGCAAAACCCACCTAAACTCACTCAGTGTATTACATGGAATAGTTCGGAAACCTGTCATATTCGTGCTCTTACTCGAATGTTCGCATTAATCCGAGCATACTCTTTTAGATATGAATTTTATATAGCTCAGAAATTTTGATCAAATGGTTACCATCAGACTTTGCACCACATATAGCTGGCCAATGAAGGAAGAAATTTCTAAACCTCTCAATCTTCGATCTCGATTCCTTTACCAGAGGCCTGGAAGATTGAGGGTTTTACGCAGTATCTTAGCTTCTTAGCTGTTCTTAATAGTGCGCTGTTCTGGACAAATATCTCTGATGTTTCTGAAGTTGTTGAAGCCACTTTCATAATTTAGAAGCCATAGTTCCAGCTGTTCCAGTTACCACTAGAATTGCTATGACCTTTATTTTCCACATCTCTAGTTCCTTTTTCACCTCTTGGTATTTCTCTAACTTCTCATATTCCTTCTTCTCCTTCTTCCTGATATTCTTAGTATTGCTATATCTATCATTAGTGTTGATTTATGATTCTTATCTTGTCTAGTACCACGACATTTGATAGATGGTACTTGTTTGTCTATTTGGATGGTTCCACAGGGTCTTCGCCTTATTATTTTCTCTGATTTTCTGAGGAATCTCTTATTTAATCTTGGATCTAAGCCATATACATATACAGATGTTCCCGTAGATGATGCCAGCTAGTTATGCTTTTCAATGTTTTGTTCTTTTGTTGCTTTATTTGTTGCTTGCATTTTATATACTCCCATTATGTGTCAAACTATTTCTGGGGCGTTTTTGCACATCTGCATATAAAGTGCTGTCTACTGTGGCAAATCCTTATTTCGATGTTTAGTGCTTCTTCCTGTGCTGCTATAATCATTGCCTCCTTGCTTTCCATGGTATTTGCTTAATTGTTTTGCAATGACTCCTCATCAGCTGATTCTTTGGTGCCATTTTGCTGATATATTTCTGAATGCTTCGAGTTTCGTTCAGGATAGTTGTACTCACCAAGCCTCACCCATTTTCTTTCCTGTTAGTGAATATTCTTTGCGTGTTGGACTTGGAGTGGAGATTTGGGTGCATTATGAGGAGTTTCCTGGTCTTTATATCAGCATTCTTCTTCCTTTGTCCTTCTTACAATGCCAGTTGTATACCTAATGTCTGGTAGCATATATTTTTATAGCATAGATTCTACTCTTCCCATTGAGCTGGCCCTTCAAAATCTTGTCATTTGGCTATACATAAATATATAAATGTTGCAGTCTTCATTGTCTTCTCATCTTACCATGTGATTGTGGGATATCAAGGTACTTGCGTGTGCGCTATATGTTCTGATGGTAAGTCCACTCCATTAGTCATACTACTTTTCCTCTCTTTATTACCATCCGACCACATTTCTCCTATCCGTTCATTCATCATCTATGTAGAGAAAATGGCTTATGCTAGTTCCACTCTTGAATTTATAACTGAGGGAGCTTAGACCTATGCAGAATAGGGGAGACAAAATTTCGCTTTGGTATATGCCACATTTGTTAGCTACTTGTACAAGCGTTTCGAATTGATATCAAGTACTGTTTTCCACAGTCCAAGTTCTCAATGATGGGTTTTTGTTGGTTCTGTATACAGCCAGACATTTACAGATCCATGTGTGTAGCATTGATTCATAGGCTTTCCTATTGTCAGTCTAAGCTGTATACAGATTAGCTCACCGGAATTTTGAGTTCAGAGCGACTGCTTTATCCATGAACAGTTGGTGTTTGGAGCCTCTTTGTTGTTCCCAATGCATTTTTGAACTCACTTATGAACTGGCTCATATATTTATGAAGCTTGATGGCTATGATGCCTAGATAGGACTTACCACATTGTGGGTAGTCAGATTATTGGTCGGTGGTTCGGCGTCGTTGTCCCCATATGAGCATCTTTCATAATCAGTACCGATCAGTACCACCCTTCCTTAACCAATCTGGTTGAGAACTTGCCACAAGTAGCTGGTTCTATGTCGTTAGGCACTCTTGAACCGCTGCTTCTTTAGCCAGTAAGTATGAATCATGTTTGGATCAGGTGCTATTTTTGTGGCTGCTGGATGTCAACTTTGATGATAGCTGGTTTCCTCTCTGGGAGGTTACTGTGACTTGTTCTCAGATCTTGCAACCATTTTACAATTCATTCCGATGAACATATATAAAATTGGAAGATTACATGATTACATGATGACAAATGATTACATCATTTGTATTATTATTATATTTTTTACATTATTATTGTATATTTTATATATGTTTATATTTTTGAATCATATTTAGCTCGATCCAGTGATTCGCTGTATTTATTAGCACATTGTTTTTTACGAGGTGGTCAAAAAGAAAATGCTTATAAATTACTCAGTTTAAACGAATTGATAACGCCACAGTTGCGATTCATTTTTGCTAAATGTTGCTATGATTTAAATAAGTTAGTTTGTCGAGTTTGTCGAATTTTTCACAAAGATTTCTTTTTTATTTTTCATAACAAAATTTTAAATTGTATATTTATAATATTTTTGTTATAACGTCATAAATTTTCGAAATTTATTGACAGTGCCTTTAAATTTACCATTAAATTGCTCAAGAATTGGTCCATCAATGTTTAATTTTTAATGTTAATTTCTAAATCGTCAAAGACATCAATATTTTAGAAACATTTCGTTTTTTCTTAAATATTTTACAGACTGCAAGAAGCAGAGAACGTTCTTCGAATGGATCGAAGCGCTCAGCTACATTCAATATTTCAAGGAACTGTAGTTGAACCATTTGCTCATGCTCTTCTTGCTAGAATTTTCAGGTATTTTCGATTTCATGCACGAATATTCAGGCTTTTAAGCCCGCATTAAGCACTCTAATTTTTTCAAGGTAAACTCGCTAGCCACCTTACGCGACCGATCAAGGTAACGCAAGGAAAACCAACATAGATTAGCCTACGATCATAGTTCACATCCAATAAATGGACCATGAAATTATTACTTTTTGTTTGAGTGAGATAAAAATTTATCATTTGTTATTTATTGTAAAAAAATAATTTTAAAAAACTTTAGAAAATATTAATATTTTTATTTTTAATCTCACTGGTGTAATTCTTTTTTATAAAAGTAGAAAGAAAGAAAAATGAATATTAATTTAGCGAATCAGGGCGCATCGATGAAGCATTGAAAGAAAATCGTTATGGTTTAGAAGTGAATTTGTTATCATGGTCGGCAATAAAAACACATTGTGAACTGGGAGCTACTGATCTAGAAAAAATCTATCCGAAACTTAATGCTTCTATTTCATCTGCAAAAAATTATTTAAAAGATAAGACAAATAGGTATTTCCTGCACTTTTACTGTATATTTTTTAATTTTTTATAATATCATTTTATCATAATCATTATGTACAGGGTAATTAGCGAAGATAAACCAGTCAAGGCCAATATAGGACCTATTGTGAAAGAACTGGATGATAAAAGTGCCACCTTTGCTCCAAAAAAGCAACGATCGGTTATTATTATTTTCTTCTAATTCTGCGATTTTGAGACTTGGCTTTTGCGCACGGTATTTTAAATGTTTCAAAAAAGGTATGAAATCTAAGTGAATCTGTGGGTTTCAGACACTAAATAAAAAGGAACTTACTGTTTCAAGGAGACGAATGGATAATAGCATAGAGATACGACGTAGCACTCGTCTTTTTGCTTCATCACAAGATAGCGAAAATATGTCAGCAGTTAACATAAGAAGTTCTTCGAGAACACGTACAGGAATACTCACAGGTACAGCAGTGCGTAATTCACAGGACAAACAGTTGAGGTATTAATTCTTTCATCCTCATTACACTTTCTCAATATATTTTTAAGTTCTTTTGACACAGTCCTGTGCTAGCTATAGTTTGGTATTTATATTCATATTCTTTATAACATTTTCTAACAACAACTTGGAAGGAGTAAAATGGAAAAAATTGCATGCGATATGTAGAATTCAATCAAACATTTTGTCTAATATAAATCATCGTTGCTTCACTTATATCGTTTATTTAAATTTAATACCACTACAATTATGATTATTTTTTTATAATTATTTTTATAATTATAATTATTTTTTAAGTAATTTATAGATATCATTTATCAATTTTCTAAATTATTCTCAGATCAATGAATCGGATAAACGAAATACATGTAAATAGGAATATTATATGTGTGCCTTCGTCACAACCACCTATTATTGATAAATTTACGGAATCAAATGACGATTTATCAGATGCATCTATGAATCTTAAACCAATTGTTTCTAAAAAGAATTGTTCAGGATCGCAAGCGGTTGCTCCTTTATCATCACACAATCAAAATGCGCAAGAAAAGGTTAAATATTCAGGTTTTTTATGCTGTTGTGATTTCTTTTTTTGAACAAGCAGATTATTAATCAAATAGCCTTATATAATCGCATTTTAAGATTTATTTGAAGGAACAAAGAGGAGTTGGAGTGATTAAAAGTATATCTTCATTTTCAACTAATCCTACTCGCCCACGTGTTCAACGTAATCCACGTCTTATTCAAAAGCCAAGAAAATCTCTTTCACCTCAAGCACGAAATATCGTTCCTTCCACTTTATCATCCATAGTAAATGACATTGCTTATTGGACTCCTGTATTCGGTAATCTGTACATTCAAATAATTTAATTTGGTTTTTTCTATTCTTTTTGGTCTCTGCTTTCTATTTTTGTTCGAACTTATATTAACCCTTAAGGCGAATTTTTTTATTTATTCATTTATTCATATATATGATCAAAGCAATAACTTGCATTAATAACAAAGTATTATTATAAATATTATTAGTTATAATTTCATTTAAAAAATAGTTATTCAGTTTAGATCTATTAGCAATATCTGGTTTTCCTTGGATCATTTAGATCCATTAAAAATATCTGGAAAATAATATCTATTGCTTAGGTAAACTTTTTTTGTTAGTAATTTTTTTGCATGGATTTATCCATACTTTAATATTTATATTTTTGATTTTCAGCCAATATTGCGGAAAGCATATACCATTTGGCACAAGTGCAAAGTGCTTTATCCCATTATAAAATACATTTGGCTCTCGAGCGTTTGACACAAATGCCTGAAACTTGTTCTAAATCTGCTCTTGCAAAAGAACTTGCAGCCAGAGTTTATTTAGAGAAACTAGATTATCAGAAGACTAAAGAAATACTGGAAGAAGTTCATCGCGATTATCCACATAGAACATCAGGAATGGAGGTAACATTTTGGTTAAATAATTAGACAAAAATAAAGTTTAAATTTTTTGCAGATATTATCAACGGCTCTGTGGCATACACAAGATTCATATCGTCTTTCCACGTTGGCATCAGAATTAACGCAAAGCGCTCGTTATAATGCAGAAACTTGGTGTGTTGCTGGCAATTGTTTTAGTGTTCAAAAACTGCATGATATAGCAATCGAATGTTTTGAACGAGCCATTTTACTTAATCCTCATTTTGCATATGCTTTTTCTTTATTGGGGCATGAATTACTCGATACAGATCAATTGGATAAGGCAGCTTCTTCTTTCAGGTTTCCTTTTTTAGAATTAATCCATTATGTTTAATTATAATTATTGGAATTTTAGTTTTTTCTGTTCTTTTAGACGTGCTTTATTGCTTTGTCCGACTGATTATCGGGCATGGTTCGGACTTGGGTTGATGCATTTTAAACGAGAGCAATTATCTTTATCACGTATACATCTTAATCGAGCTGTCAGTATCAATCCTCATAATTCAGTGCTTCTTTGTCAGTTGTCAGTTGTTGAACAAGCACTTCATAACAATGATAAGGTTACAGCCACAGTTTTATCGCCTATTTTTATTTTTCAAATATTTTGAAAAAACACGGTGAAGAACATTTATTTTGAAAAAGCAAAGCATTTTATCCAAATTTTATTTTTTTTAGGCTATGGAGTTGTTGGAGCGTGCTTTATTCATATCACCGGAAAATGTAGCATGTCGCTTTTATAAAGCGCGTCTATTGTATGAAATGCATGAATATGAAAAATGTCGTGAAGAATTGAATGATGTAAAATTATTTGCTCACGATGAAGCGCAGGTTGTTATAACTGCCTTACTAATGAAATTAATATGAACGAAGGCGATTTTTTACTTTTCTGTGATATCCTTGGTAACATTACTGAGCTATTTTTATCAATTTTTTGCAGATTTTCTTTTTACTTGGCCGTGTGCATAAAAAATTGGGCAATACTCATTTGGCATTAATCAACTTTAGTTGGGCAGCTGAAATGGACCCTCGTGGCGAACAAAGTCACCATAATATTAACGAAGACCCATATGACGATGAACCAACTCCATCAATGACCGAGTAGTTTCTGCGAGCTAACTCTAAATCGATTACTTGCATATTGCATAGTCGTAAAACAATTTTTATGTCCTACATTTTGGTGAACGGACACTTACAGTGATAAGTCGGATTTTACCTGATTTTTCAATTAAATATTGTACTGTATAGTTAAAAATATTTTGAGCATATTTATACATTGTCAAAATATCGTGATTGACAGAATTAATAGGGGCAGCTGATATTATTAACAGAGAGTAAAATATATTCGATTCATTTAGTGAGGACTATTCGACTAAAAGGAAAAAAAATTAGATTATCACTTTTCCACTTTTCTTGCTCAAATCGATTATTGGTAATGTTTAATAGTTTTTTTTGTCGAATATTTATGTTGATTTTCAACCAAAAATCAATTGTTTATCAATCTTCATTTTACCGATAATTATTTAACATTTTGTCGATTAATTTTAATTAATTTTATTTGTCTAAATGTTTATCACTTTTTGTTTTTTTCATTCTATCAATCAAATATTCGACATATACTCCATTTTTATATTTACATCATAAAAGTTATGGGCATGGCCGCTTTCGGTAGAAGGTTAATTCCTTGGATAATTTTCTACTCGACATCTGCAGAATTTTATTTTCTAACGAAAAAAACAAATCCATAGAAATACACAAATTTCATTTGAATTTTTCGTGCTTTAATTGTTATCATTCACAGAAATCGACAAAAAGTTACGAAAATAATATAAATAATACAAAAATATGATCTCATTGATTGACACCGATGATAAAGAGATAAAACCGTACTTAGTCAACGAACATATAGGTACAAATGTCGGAAAAATAAAACAGACCGGTATCCGATCAAAATGAAACAGAATACTTTGATTACCAGGGAAATACTTTACTTCTTCACCGATTATTATTAAGTGTTTGATTAGTTGACCCGCTCCTTTTTCACTGTTCACTGAAATAATGCTTAAATTCCTAAATATTATTTACAACAAGATTTACATCAAGAAAAACATAGATAGTTGGCAAAATACTTGTAAATTTTTAAATGGTTAACCAAGTAATGCTTAATTCGATAATTACATATCAGCAACTCACCATCATGAAGCGTATTATTTGTTTTCACAGTCTTTCAAATCTGTCACGCAAGCAGCCTTACGATGCTCCCGAAATTCTTCAAAATCGCTCGTTACAAATCGACATCCGCCGCATATTAACGTATCTGGCATACCTGCATATGAAACATGGATTTAAACGAACAATTATACTTGTAATATATGTGCATAATTTAAAAAATCAATTTGGATTAATAAGATGAATATTTATCAATTCTTTTTCCGCGAATTAACTACCAAATAATAGGAGATCTCGATTGGGAAATTTCGGCATTTTTAGTTTCTGATTCTTATTTGCTAATGAAAAAATAGGGTTAGAGAAAAAATGAAAGATAAATGATAAAGATATACAAGATAAACGAAACAAATTGCTGCAAATTACTGAAAAGAAACGATAAAAGAAAATGGTACGATAGTGGAAGAGAACGGAAATGAAAGAATAAGGATATTTAAATAAAAATGATAAAAGAAAAAAACGACAAAGCATGGAAACAAAACTCCATATTATCACTGCTTTACCGCAAATCTTAACGAATAACACACCTGTCTGGTAAAGATTACAATTTCGTGTTATATCTTCAGAGGCCGTCTGCCGATTACGATCATTTTGTGCCATCACCACCGAGAAGTCTTCTAGTTTTTCTTTCTTCACAACATTGTTCGGCCAATTATCCGCTGTTCGTTTCACACCGCCCCTGAAACTTGTTTCTAATTAATCATCTTGATTGTTTTTCGCTTTTACCACATCTCAATTAAAATTCGCCAACCAATTCAACTGCGTCCAGCTGTAAATTTAAAAATTCAGAAAATATAGAAATTAAAATAACAAAAATGAAATCAGCTCTAAATATTGACAATATGAAGTTCTATGAACTGGCAAGACAAGCCGTAACATGATTTAGATGATTTTTAAATAAGCAACTTATCCGTTCTTTGCGTGAAATAAAAAATAATCTGATCTGATAAGAAAAGAAATAATCCTCTAAAAAGAATTAAAATTTATTAAATGGAGAAAGTAAGCAAATCCAGTTTTAGTTATATTTGCTGTGGATGGCTCCTATAATATTTATTCAAATTGCCAAATTAAAAAACGCATTCTCTCTATTTAGCTATAAAGTGACAACGAAAAAGAAAGATTGCAATGGATAAAAAGATAGTAAAGACGAATCATTTTAGATTATATAATTTAAATAATCGAGAAAAACTGTCGAATTAGAAAAAAGATAAGAAATTCTATTTTTAAAAATTGTAAAAGATAATATCTATTCTAAAAAACCTCGGAACCTATCGTTTTTTTAAAATTTTAAAGGATCTAAATAAACAAAAAAACAAAATAAAAAAGGACTTTTTCAAGGATTTTCTCGATAAAAATTGAAAAAAATGAAAATACCCGCTTGTGGCTGAAACATTCGATGTATTGTGCGTTTTCATCCCGGCAATAGCGAGCTTCACATCTACAGAAGAATTAAGAAATTGAAAAATCTAATTCATAATAAAATACTGCAAAATTTGGTGAAAAAACCTAAAAAAAAAAGAAAAAATTTTAAAGGTCATTCTTATTTTGAAAATTTTTTACTTGCTTTTAAAAAATTAATAAAACTGAAAAATGTCAAAAACATAATTCAAGAAAAATAAGACAAAAGATTTTCACTGAAAAATGATGAAACTGACATCGGACTATTCCAAAAAATTAAAATCTATCTCAATAAAAAAACATTAAAAGTGTATAAAAATACTATCAACTAATACAAGAATCGATAAAAACAAAAATTTTGCATATCAATAAAAGAACTAAAAAAACAATTGGAATAGTTCTAAAATGGAAAACTATAAATTTACTAAATATAGAATCACTGGATAAAAACATAAAAGATAAAATACTCAAGAAAACGACCTCTAAAAAAGCATAACAAAAATTTAAAATGATTTAATTTAGACAACAAAACAAAATTCTAAAAATTAAAAAATGAAAAAGCGAAGTTCGCAGCAAAGTCTCTCAGAGAGAAATTCCTCTTGCAAATAATTAAACTACAAAAAGAAAAAAAAAATAAGCAAAAGTTTTGAATCGCTGTCATTGATAAAAAAAATAGCTTTTTAAGCAAAAAAAAAGAATTAAATATGAATAATACAAAAAATTTTCTTTTTCTCAAAAAAACAATTATGAAATATAACTGAATGAAATATTTAAAATTCTCGATGAATTTTAATCAAAATATTTAAAATAAGAATAAAATAAGAGACAAGTGCCAACTGTTCTTTTCTTTATTGAACTGAAATATTTACAAATTTTCACAAATTACGAATTTCCTCTGTGATTTCCTTGCAAATACGACTAAACAGTCTTGATCCTCACATATTACAAATAACATTTGAAAAGATTTGCAATAAAAAAGCTTCAAAATTTGATTCTAAACGAAAAAAAATCCATCTCAAAGCAACAGTACATTAAAAGAAATAGAATAGTTGCTTCCGTAAAAAAAGAAAAACTTAATTCTCTATTAACCTTAACTATACCGTTAACGCACCCAAAACCAACAAATAATATTTGCTTCCATTTGCCAAATACCAAGAAACAAAACAATTCAGCAACTGCTTCAACAAGCTGAAAGTAACATAGAGGATAAAAAGAATATGATCCTACCGAGTATAGAACCATTCCAGTTATATCCATTAAGAACTCCAACCGCTAAATCCGCTTCAGTTGACGTTCCATACTGTATAAATGCATAACCTTTGAATACAGTCACGCCAAGTAAGTTGCCATAACTGCTGAACAAACGAATGATATCGTCGCGAGTGATTACATTCGTATTAATATTTCCAACAAATACACGAGCTCTAAAACCACAGTAAGCAAAGAATAGAACAAACAGCAGAGAAACAATTTTTCTAGTCCAACATTAGATTTGTCTTCTTTCCAGTGAAAATTACTAGCAATCTTTATAATCATATTTACTAAAAAAATATGAATATAAAGGCTCAAAAAGATAAATACAAACGTACCTTATAAGGTGAGGTTCTTTGCTGCTAGTATCAAAACTAATATCACGTTGCTTTAGTGGCTGAGGTGTACTTCCAAAAGGTGACCTCAAAATCAATTGAATTAAAATCAAAAATCAAATCAATTGAAAATGAACTGTCATCCTTCTCCAGAAAAAATATCGAAAAAATATTTATTTTGTTAAATTTTCCACCCTTGCATTAGATATTCAGTTTTAAATTCAATTTTTACATAAGATAAAATGAAAATATAAAAGTTTTTATGTTTAAAACAAAAAAAGTGGTAAATATTCAAGCAAAAACCGTGGACATTTACCCTATTTAAGTTATATTTCTGAGTTTATATATATTTGAATAAACCTATAATGGCTGTATATCTACGTAGAATTTAGGTGCGAAACTATATAAATAAATATATATATATATATATTTATACAATATGTAAACGTAAAATGTGATGTATAAATGTACAAAGTAAATTTAAATTTAAGCCGGAAACTGCATATATGTAAATACTGAAGGCGCATTTAAGCCTCTATATACTGGTAGATTTTTGCAGAACTCGAGTAAAAATGATGTATACTATTATTATTACTATTTAAACTATTCCAAACTGTTTTTAGCAGAAAATGGTGAATGTTTAAGTTGCATTTATGTATATTGCGTGCTTAAGATATATTTGAGCAAAAAATAATTGCATTTAAGCAAAAAAAGAGCTCCATCGACCATTCAAGCAGAAATGACAAATCTAGAAAATAAATTACGGTAGAAAAAACAATAAAGCCATAGTCCAAAACTGGTCATGAATCAAATCTTCGATTTAAAAATACTAAGCAATTAATAGAAAGATATTTAGCAATAAAATGAAAAAAAACTTACATGGTACTAACCAAAGGATATGCGGTTGTACTAGAATCAGCGAAACCGTATCCTAAAATAACAAAGTAATAAAATAATAAAAAATTTTAACTGAAAATTTTAACTGAAAATAAATAATAAAAAATTAAACAAATTAATAATAAATTAACAAAATTAACAAAATAATAAAAAATTTATTTTTAATAAATATTTATTCAACTTTATTAAATAATTTTTCAATTAACATCGCTCGTTGCACATATATCCATTTTAATTCAAAAAAAACGAGTTCTTTTTTCCATTATTATTGTAAATGATCTACAAATTCATAAGTAGAACAGGAAATATACATGCATGCTCAAAGAAAAATTCTATAGTATGAAAAAAGATTGAGCTTCAGCAATACTGATTGAATGGAATAAAATACTAAAATGACATTTTTTGAATCGTTCATAACAAAAATATTCTTCATTAAATATCCAGCTAAATCCAAAAATATTAGCCAGAGATCTTATCAGCTTAAGTGATGGTGAAAACAATATTGACCGACTGCAGAAGCATTATGAAATTCTTTAGACATTTAAATATTCGATTAAACAATTCATTAAAAATTAATTTTAAAAATTAAACAATTCATTAAAGAAAATGAACCACTTTAACCACTCAAATATATTAAATATATGATATATTAGAAGTAGAGAATTAGATAATCAAGTTGTGATCCACTAGGCACCACTCGATTTTTAATGTTAACTTCCCTTTTTTTTCTTCTGCCTCTTTAGCCATTATTCATGGGCTAAACTATAATGATCTAGACAGCACATATTTACAACACCACTCTGAAGATTCAAAAATTTCCTGATCTTTGATAATCACTTCTGGAATTCGTCTAGAAGCAAAATATGCCTCGACAGATTAATATACATTAGTGCTCTCGACAGATGACAGATTTTTTCTTACGTCACTGTCAGCAAAAATTAATATCTTTAAAAGATATCAAAGAAAAACTGGCAGTTAGAAATGAAAAAAACAGACGTTAAGCAGTTGCAAAAAAAAATTAGATGAAAATATGCTGATAATAACCTCGATCTTTCTTATAAAAAATTTCAATTTCTATGGCTTTTTTCTATAATGATAAATCAATTATAACGATGAAATTAATCATCTAAGCAATATACAAATTTTAATCCACTTATTCAACTATAAAAGATTCTTGGTTCACGAATAACAGAAAATATGTAAACCCTCGCCAACATCCTTTAATCAATCGAACATAAGCTGTGGTTAAAACATGCAAAAATTAATGAGTATTTTAGAAACCTATTACCTATCTATCACACCACCTTATTCTATTCCATTTTTTATATGTTTAATGATTTAAAATGACCAAAATTATCTTCATTTGGCTGAAAGGAAGCGACAAGTAAAAAAAATCTAAAGAAATGGAAATAAAAAATAGAAAACGTCAAGAACCTTATATGTGATAATCATGGAAAATATTTCGTTATAAAAATTCTTTATATATATATATATATAATTATTCTACCTTCACTTCGAAAGTTAATTGAAAATACGTTAATTGAAAATATCTAACACCTATCTATTCATATAAAGGGTGATAAGAAGGGAGAGTTTTATATTAATATATGGAAAGAAAAGATAAAAGCGTATTATGGCAAAAGCGAAATATGATATTAGAATTATGAACAAGATATATGAATTATGAACAAAAATATTTTGGAGCAGTTGCAAACAAGCAAATGCCAAAAAAAATGAAGAAAAACTGATAACCAACCAAATGATAAGAGGCCTACACTGAAATATCACTTCATGAAAATGATAAAATTCCCGAAGAAAAAACAAATGATGGAAATGAACAAACCTGGCCTAATTGGACGACCAGGAGATTGATATATGAGACTACTACTGTTTCCAGTAATCGAAGCCAGCTTTACTGTTTTTGCTGTTGTTATTAAATTCGGTGACAACGACAACCTATTTGACAAATTATTCAGCGATAATATTAATGGCAAATCGATGACTGAAGATGGTGATGATGGCGTATAATCTGAAACCATTTTCAAACCATCCATATCCAATATGTTCGACCGTGGAAAATTCGTTTGGCCAACAATAATGAATAAAAAACACAGTGGAATCCGCCACAACCACCGTCAGCAGCACACTACTAATAACAGCAACAATAACAATATTACAATTAAAATATAAAATATCTAATTGAAGGGAGGAGAAAATGTGTATAAAAATGTAAAATCAAAATCGAAGAGACAAAAAAGGAAGGACGAAAACTGATGGGGGATGGTTGGTTGGCTTCTCAGTGAAATATTTTAAACAAAATTCTATTTGCGCGTTTGTTATATATATATATATACATATTTCTTGTTATTATCGATAAATAAAAAACCACTTCGTCCATTTTTCATTAGTTATTAACACATTCACTGACGTGATGGATGGCTCTTCTAAAAATCTTACTTATTTTTGAAATTAAAAATAAATTGCTAGAAAGCAAGAATATAATCGAAAAGTGAACATTCAATAATAAACTAAATTATTAAATTATGAAATCAATAAATTAAAGGAAAAAAACTGCCATCAATAAAACGATCGACCGAAAATAACAGAGTTAATGTTAAAAATGAAAAAATAATTTCAAAAAAATTTAAGCCCGAAAACCACAAATTTTTTTCCACGTTTTTCTTTCAGTAAGCAAATTTTCGACAATCCATTTTAAAAAATTGATCCCTTAGCATAAAAATTTTCTACAATTTGTTCTGCTTTTTGCCATATCTATAAAATAATTATTATTATTGTAAAAGTAATAATTAATAATAATAATGATAATTAATCCATTAATATAAAGCAAATCAAAATATATAAAAGGAGAAAAATAAACAAAAATTTTTGACAGTTTTCAACCACGATTTTACCGTTTATACTTTCAATGAGAAATAAATTTTAATAAATGCAAAATTCAAATTAAATTTCTAACACAACCAATCAAACTACAATGAAAAACAAAATCAAGCGAAATAAAACCCTCATAATCGAGTTACTGAGTAGATTTCAAATAAATTCTATAACATAGATCAGTCAAATTCAAACAGTTATACGACCACGAATGGGAATGCATAGGTGAACAACGGTCAGATATTTTTTAGACACCACATTTTCCGAAAATTTCCGTAAGGATGCGAACTTTTTCACTAATTTCTATACTTATTCATTTAACAGAGCAAAAGCCATATTTTGGTTAAAATAAAAGAAAAAATATGGGAAAATGTGAGAAAGAATACAAAAGGAATTCCATTGGTTTCAATAAAGCATCTCTTTTTTTGCAAAGGAATATAAAGTAACTATGGATTTTCCACGTCTTTTAATAACTCTCTAATAAATGAATATAACATTTGAAAAATTCGTTTGAAGACGAAATCAACGATAGTTAATAGATAATTGATTCAACAATAGTCAAAAAGTCTTTTAAATTGTTGAATTTTATGCTTCGATTAATTAAAAATAGAACAGAAACTTTCACTAAATTTTAGAATATATTTTTGAAAAATGTAGTTTTTCTCTGAAAAGAGCAAGCATAAATAATTTCAAATGTTTATATAGTAACAGTGATGTTAGAGGCTCTATTTAGATCAACTTGGTGGAAATTCGTTCAATGATAGTGGAACGGGAAGCGCTCATCTATGAATAACTGCGACACTGTATGCCTTATGAATATTATCGAGTCTTAAAAATTCTGTAACGACAAAAAATAATAATTAATAATGATGATATTAAGCGAATTAAAATATATAAAATGAGAAAAATAAACAAAAATTAATTAATAATAATAACAAACTGTATTTGAAAGCAATGGATATAAGGAAGTATCAAAGGTGATTTTCGAAATTCAGAATGGCAATTTCAGTTTATAGGAAATTTAAAGCTCTGGTAAACCTTCAAAGATTGATGCAGACTAATTGCACTCTCCGGTTAAAAGCTGATCCAATCATCCAATCATACAAATTATACAAAAATATAATTCTCGAAAAGTAAGACCATCAAAAAAGATGCTTCAAAACACGCAAAAAATCAGAGTTTAGCTCGAAAGTTCTATTTCATCCAAATTATAACCTTAATTCCCACTTATCTAGTATTATTATTAAATAATAATAATATAAAATAACAACAATAATAATATGATAATAAAATAATAATAAAT